TGCTGTTGGCATGAAGCAGGTCCTCATGGTTGTGTTCGTAAGGCACCAAGTATCAACATTCAGACATCCACATGCTGACTGTCATGGAGCACAGTCACTCTATGAACTAGACTGACCACTACAGAGATTGGAAAAGGCCTCTCCTTTCCAGAGTTACATCCAATATGTGTTTCTGGAAGCTCCCTACCTCCTCTCAGCTGCAAGTTGCCTCTTCCAACTGAGATCCAGTAGGCAATTTCTAGAGCCCTTCAAGCCAACAAAACAAAGCAGCTTGTTTTTCTTAACAGTTCCCAAACATTTCAGACTTTGGGCCCCTTCCCTTTTTCTGTAATTGTTTGGACCTCTCATGCACAACTGACACACATTTACAATCACTGGCCTGGCCCCAAATCACTGCAAACCAGACATGGCTATATCTCCAACATACACGCTGGTTCCCTTCCTCAAAGCAGGTTAGCAATGTTTCTTGCCAGCCTGGAAGACAACAACTGCAGATAACTGCTGTAGAAATATCCCAGCCATATATATGTATACACATACATATTATTATTTGTTTCCATTCCAAGAGAGGGAAAGCAAAAATCTGCCAAACACACAGGAACCCACAATGGTCAGCAGTTCTACACTGGCAAAAACCTCTTCTTCTGTGGGATACAATTTTCCTGTCCTTTTTTTTTTTTTTTTTTTCCTACTAGACATGCAAGAATCCAGCCTCTTCCTTCCTCTTGGATGAGAGTATGGGGACTTCATGAACCTGCAGAAAGGATAGGAATAAGATCCCCGTGCTGTCTCAGCTTCCTTTCCGGTCCATTAAAGGAACTATACATACAGTGATTAGAAAACCACTAGTCTAAACCAGCTTCACATGTGGCTTTGGCTAACCTGACTGAGAAATTCTTCAGATGCACTGGCAGTGTGTGCAGGGTTAATCACAGCAGAGAGGTTTAAGCAACAACTACTTCTGCATCTGTCAGTCACCACTTCCTTGCCCAGATGAGGTACCTGATAACCAGCCAGGCAGGTTCACTATGTGTTAACATGTCAAAGGGGCTGCAAGGTCTCTGTGCTAGCAGGACTGCCATGGTAGGACACAGGATCAAGAACTCAGACTGCAAGTACGCAGCAATTCCTTCTTGAGTCAGCTGCCATTAACAGGCACTCCAGCAGTATTACACTTAAAATTAGTAAATAAAGCTAGGTTAAAATAAAATCCTTCTGGCTTTACACCTGTTCAATCAACACGCTGCACCTGTGTGAATGCAATTTCTCCTTCCTCTGCAAGTCCTCTAGACTCAGAGTAAAACTGCCCCTAGGCACTGTTGTTTACAGTCACCACATCCTCTGAGGAGAACACGTTTCTGAGATGCTCCTGTCCTATCAGCAGGGGAGACATCAGCTCGAACAGTCAAACTGAAATTAGTGCTTCCAATGCTGCCACCTTCTGTGGGAAAGCTGGAACTTTACTCGTATTCTTCTATTCCATTACCTGAGTTTTCTTGAGTTTTGGAATGCAATGCTTTACAAGAATGCTTGCTTCTTTACAAAAATTTGCTGTTCAGCAGATTACTATTCCATGGAAGGATGTGAGAAAAACCTAGCTTTACTTGCTTCATGGTGCAAAGAAAAAAAGATGTAAAAATATCTTGCTAAGTTTACAAAGCTAGCCATCACATTAAAAAATGCTTTTATCATCCTCCAGGAAGTTTACAGGCAAACCAGTGACTAAAGTATCTTTCATCTGGAAAGAATTCTGCACTCCTGCAATAACCTACAAGGGACCATGTGCTGCTGCATTCACTGTAAAGTCACAGCAGACTATCATGCATTGAAAAGAAGCTGTAACAGGAAGTTATAAATAACATTTCCTTGCTATCAGCTTTTTCAAACGCTGCAGCTGCTGAACATCTCCATTTGCCTAGGAGAAACTGTGCTTCAGAGAGGTTTGTCAAGAAAGAAGACTTATCAAGGGAAGTTCCTTGTTTCAGATAATAAAGGGGGGGGGAGAGGGGGAAATTACAGGTAAAGCAAAATGCCTCTACATAATTTTATATATTAAAAAAAAATAATTCAGCAACTTGTGTATGCTTCCCAACAGTTAATCTAGTGTATCTAACAGCTATAGAAACAACAAAATGTTTGAGACTATAAAAAAAGGACTAAAAATTTTAGTATCAAAATGAAAATATCATCTTCAAAATACTTCAAATATTAACAAAGGAATATTTAGAGAAAGTTTATGCTGGGTAGCTCTCAAGTACTACTTTTGTGCTCTCTGTTAGTTTGAAATCTGCACAAGAAACTGGGAATCTATGAGAGAACACCTGTCACACATTACCATGCACAAAAAATAAAAAAATAAACAAAAATTCAACTTTCATTTACTGGTTGGCTAATGCTGAGGTTCACCACACTTGTCTCCAGTCATTCTGATGGAGCGATATATTCTCACCAGCATGAAAATGTATAATCAAATCAACTGCGAGATGGCTGTGTTAGCAAGAAGAACATACTGGTGCCAAAACCAACAAGAATACTACATGCATTTCAGATCACACTTACTTTAGTTTTCTCCTGGCCTGGAACCTCAGAAGGAGAATACTATGTATGCTGTGTATGATACTAGGTTCCTCAGCATTAGTGCTGAGGAATGGCTTGGGTTGGAAGGGACCTCCAAGCCCACCCAGTCCCACCCCGTGCCATGGGCAGGGCTGCCACTCAGCAGCTCAGCTGCCCAGGGCTCCATCCAACCTGCCTTTGAGCGCCTGTAGGGATGGGGCACCACAGCTTACATGGGCAGCTGTGCCAGCGCCTCACCAACCTCTGAGTGAAAAACTTCCCCTGACATCTAAATTTCCACTCTTTTAGTTTAAACCCTCTCCTTCTAGTCATATCACTATCTACCTGTGTAAATAGTTGATTTCCTTCCTGCTTATAAGCTCCCCTTAAATGCTGAAAGGCTGCTATCAGATCCCCCCAAAGCCTTTGCTTCTTCAGGCTGAATGAGGATGAGGAATGAAGCAACCCCCTCTGTTGCTCCTACTTGTCAGGCTCCCTCTTGGAGTGTGCCAGCCAGATTCCTTTTGAGTGACATCAAACCAGCAGACATATCCCCAGAACATACATAACACGCTCCAGCCCTAGTGGTGGCAGCATTTATTGGGCTGAGCTGAAGCCGCCCTGGTGCATCTGTAAACCTCAGCCCTGCTGATTTAACTCAGAACATCTCCTATTACTTGCTAATGTGGATGTTAGCTCAGAGCTTGAAATATCCTGAAAGAATGAATCCACAGGGTAAAGTTAGATGGAGTACAAAACCATAATCCAGAATAACAAGAATCATAGAATCATTAAGCACCTCCAGGGATAAGGACTCCACTGTTTCCCTGGGCAGCCTGTTCTAATACTTGAAGATGGTAAGACATATTTATGTACATGTATGCTAGGTGCATGTTATGTACATGTTTATGCATATGAAGGATGCATTTATGTACTTATGCACGTATTTATCTATGTATATTGAAATACAGATCTCAAATATTGGCAGAGGTACTGTGCGCTATCTTGATTTCCTGTCAAAGTTCACTAAAGTTGTTGGAGGTAGCAGCATGCTAAAAAAACTAAACTTTCTATATTACGCAGCCAAACTGCTCCTAAATTGTAGTCATGAATCTAACTCTCAAAGGAGAATCTAGCTGCTGATGCGAGCTTCTAGTAAGACAGTCATACAACAAATTCTTTTCAAAAAATGCTTCTCCTATATGTTTAATTGATGTAATTGCTGTAGGAATATTGACTAATTGCCAAAGGGAAGGGGCAAGTCTCTTAAGCTACAGATCTGCTGTTGGAAAAATACGAATTTTTAAGACTGTCTCTTCACTGAATTAACAAGACTGAAACATCTCAGAGAACAGAGAAAAAAAAATTACAGATGCATGGTTATGCTATAGAATGATTTGTGAAACACGGTGCAGAACTTGCCCAGCTGCCGGCATCTTACTGCCAAACGTGGTCAGACAGCGGCGATGGGACGAGCAGGAGTGGCATCACACTGCACCAGGGGAGGTTCAGGTTGGATATTAGAAGAAATTTCTTCTCATACAGAGCGGTGAGGCAACGGCACAGGCTGCCCAGGGAGGTGCTGCAGTCACCGTCCCTGGCGGCGCTCAAGAACCGTGTGGATGCGGCACTGAGAGACGAGGTCAGCAGGCACGGTGGGGACGGGCCGATGGCTGAAACAGATGACGTTAACGGTCTTTTCCAACCTTTAATAATCCTACGAATCCCCGCTTGTTGGTGCAGGCACCTCAGCCCAGAGGACAGCGCGAACGAAGAGCCCGCCACACAACCGCACGGCACCACCAGCCCAGGCGACGCCCTACTGCGCCCGCGCAGCCCCTCCCCGCGGCAATGCCCGGATGTGAGCCGCTCCGCGTTCCGCCCACCCTCTCCGCCCCGCCCCTCCTCCCCCCGCCCCGATCCCGCAGCTGGCAGCCCGGTGCGGAGGGCGGCTCGGCGCCGCCGCACGTCCCTACCCTGGCGCGAGGTAAGCGGGCCGGGCAGGCGGTTGGTCCGGGAGTCGCTCCCACCCGCGGGTACGGGCCGCCGCCTGACGGTAGCTCTCGTCGGCTCCGCGCCGGCAGCGCTTCGCCGAGCCGTGCCTTCTCCCCGCCTCGGGCCTGCCGGCCCGGGCCTGCCGCCGGCCGCCGAGCCCCGCGATCGTGGCGGGAGCGAGCGGGCGGTGCCGGCTGTCGTCGTGCCCGGCGGCGCGCGGCCGTTTCCCTCAGCGCCCCCCTCGCCCCGCGGGAACGGTCGCCCCGCTCTGAGAAGGGCCCGTCCGGCTGTGGGGCTCCAGCGGGTCCCGCTCCGACAGCGCTGTGGCCGTGGGGCGGTACCGGGCCCGCGCCGAGGCCTTCCCTTGGCCTTTCTCTGAAGTTCCGAGGTCCGTATGTCAGCCCTGCCCTGTCAGGCAGGTGTCTCCCCTCCCCCCCCTCATCCCCCTCATCTCCTCTCCAGCCCGTCGGAAGCCGAAGGCTCGTTCCTGCTTCGGGGGTTCGGCGCTGTGGGTGCTGCGGCGTTGCTGGGCTCTCCTCCACTTCGTGTAGCGAAAGCTTTGGTCGTTGCTTAGTTTGTTCTCGCGTTTCTTCAGCGCCTTCCCTTCTAACCTGGCTTTGTACCAGAGGGACTTCTTCGGGGCAGGAGCTGAAGAACTGGCAGGTCCTTGCCCAGCTGCCGACGGCGTTAGGAGAGAGGGATTGGCTGCTAAGAAGCCGGAGCTGTTTGTGGAAGGAGGATGATTTGTCAGTGCCCTGAAAAGCAGTACCGACGAGGGAAGGATCGCAGTTTTTGCTTTGCTCTTGAAAGTCTTCCTTGAATGTGCCCTGTCATGTGGCCCGGAGTGGCTGGAAAGCACCAGGAATGTCTGTGTGGCTGCATGGTGTGTGTGTCACTGAGATCCCACCGATGCTGGGAGTCACTGGTGTTCTCTGAACTAAGAGACTGTAAGCCCACAGCCTCATTTGGTCTCTGTGCCTCGTGTTTTTGTCCTGAGTTCAGTTGTAAGCTGGTCATACTGCATCTCTTGACTTTGGGGAGTGGAAAACTTGTTTTTCCTATATGGCACAGAGCACATTCGCTATTAGCAAGGCTCTGTTTTCTGCTTCTTAGGGAGAGACATGGAAATAGAATCAAAGAATGGCTTAGGTTGGAAGGGACCATCAAGGGAAGGGACTCTGCCATGGACGTAGTTGGCAACCACTAGATCAGACTGCTGAGGGCCCCATCCAACCTGGAAAAGAATCAATATGAGAAGTGCTATTAGAGATTTTTTTCGTTATGTATGTTCTTTAATGCCACTTCAAATGTATGTTGCTGGTCACATGACTTCTTTAAACAAGAAAGTCAGAAAACAGCATTGGTGTCTGTCTAAATTTGAGCATCGCTCATCTTGTGTGTTTAGAGATGGCCTCACAAGAGAGTGGGTAAATGATAATGGGGTTAATGACAATTGTAGGTGTGAAATATTGGAAAGAATACATAGCTCTTTTCTTTTTGTATGATGAATGGTTATTAAAAATTGCTTAATGTGAGTATCTGCCAAATTGCTGGGAAAAAGGCATGTGTTTGTGAGTGCTGGAAGGCTGACTGATGTTGTGCTGAAATGAAATTTCTAAGCAGTGTTGTATAGCTGGTAATTGTGGAGTTCCTGCTTGACCGTGGAATCTGTTTCTTTACATCGGATGAGTTAACACTTGAAAACTATTAGAGTTCTCTTTTAGAAATTTGTCTGGCTGTCCTTGGCAAAAATTAATGGATAAATCTTGACCTAAAAAGGTGATAGGGAAGTTCTGAGCACTATGTCTTCCAGCAAACTCAACTTTTTAGAGAGATGATTATACCTTTACTGAACAATTATTGCTTAAAATGGTACCTTTGATAAGAGAACTTAAAAGCTGTAGAAGCCACAGGTGTAAAAGAGCCTTGAATGGCTTCACGAAGAATCTGTCAGTTTTTAGACTCTAGTGCTTATTAACTGCTGCTTCTTTAATATTGTTTCAGGAGACATCATCTTCCATAATGCCCAGGGCAGATGTCTCAAAAATCCTACTTCCTAGACTTTCTGTCTCTGAACCGTAGCGTAATTGGTATTAGATGGAGAAGTTGTAGACAGTTGCTGATGTCCTTAAAGTTCTGTAGAAGCAGACTCAAAACTTAGAATGTAATGAATTGCTGTTGCTGGGATGCAGAGAGTTGTGAGGAGGCCCACTATGAAAAAAGGGCACCTTACTGTTTTCTGGAAAAATGCAAAAGTCCAAGAAACTTGAAATATGTACTGTATCTGCCACAGTTCAAGAGGTAAGACAGCAAAATGCCCAGCATTCTGAGATGTGTAAATGAAAGCAGAAATCTTTGTCTGTTTGTTTTTAAATTGAATATCAAAGAAATTTTAAGTATTGTTTGAGGGGTTGGAAAAGGGTGGGAATATTGAGTTCAGAGTCTGAGAAGAAAATAAAGTACTGACTTGATCTAAGTGCTGTGTGAACATGTTGTGCTTTTCACAGGTGTCATGAAACGTCTTGTTTGTAAGCATATACGTAAGGAATGCTCTTGGCACACCGTGATCAGTTACTTTGGCCTAAACATCGATTGCCTCTTGTAAAAACCTGTAAGTAAAATAAACGTAATTTGGTTGCTTCAATGATTTGCTCTCTGAATAAAGTTAGCATGGCCTGCTTCTAAAAGGAAAAGTGAATATCAGTTACTTTATTTTGTAAAAGGGGAAGATCTTTGATTCTATTGTAACAGCTGTCAAAGACTTTGAAAGCTGAATCAATTGTTGTGTTTTACAGAAATGGCAGCTCAGAAAAGGAAGTCTGCGTTAGTAGAGCCGTCTGCTAAACGTCCCAGGCTGGACAAGAACAGCAGACCATCATCAGCAAAGAAGGAGAAAGAGGTGTCAGATGCAAAACATGTTTCAAATAAATCGAACTCTAATCAGTGTGCAGTGCAGGAGAAAACTGTACTCAGAACCTCTGTCAAATCAAACAGGTCAGTGATAAAACAAATAAGTAATTATTCTACATTTTCTTCCTAGACTGAATTAGTGCAGAAAACAGTATAAAGAGAGTGAATTGGAGTTAAAGGTAGTTAAAATAGTTAAATATTAAATAGTTAAATATTACTAGTAGGACAATCAGCTTTATCATTTTAATATCTTTTTGGTATCTTTTGGTATCTTGGATTTATCATTTTGCTATCTTCTACATGATCTTTTTCCGGAACTGTTTTAGTGTCTTGAAATCCAGAAGGACTCCTTCAGAAAGGGTTCTGGAGGGAAAATAAAGCTGATACTTCATTTAAAGGCTACAAGTATCAACAATTAAGGTCTGCTAGAAATGTTATAAGGCATTTGTTCGTTGCCTACTATGGGCATTCATGTGGAGTTCATGGTTCAGTCTTGCAATACATAAAAAGGCATTGAGCACTGCACTTAAGAGTAACCAGATGGAAGTGATGTCTCTTTAGACAGATTCCAGAGAAAGTGGTTCTAAAAGTATTACAAATATATAATTTCTAATAAAGAGGGGGGGAAAAAACCAACAAACCACAAGCAGAGGTTAGTAGGAATGTGACATTTTTAATGACAAATTGGATTTTTCTGGGTGCTGAAGAATAATTATTTGAATATTTCAGTGTCAATGCAAATGAATGTGAACTAGGAACACGCATGACTACAAGGTCGTCGGGATTCAATTCAAATAGTAAAACAGTACCTGACAAAAAGGTCCAACAGCAGCCCAAATCCACAAAAAGTAAAGAGGTGTGCCAGAAAAAAACTGTGCAAGAAATTCCTAGGTCAAAATGCATAACTGCTCCAGGTGAGCCTGGTGCGAGGAGATCACAGAGGCTGCAGCAGCTAACACACGTAGAAGAGTCTGCACGATCCCTTCGCAGCAGAGAAGTTAAAGAAGGAAAAGCTTTGGATGTGAAACAGAGTAGCCAGGCGAAAAAACCTGCTCACAATGTTGCACCGAAAGTGCTTAAGCCTGCTGGAGAGAAAGCAGAGCAGAAAAATACCAAAATAAAGTCAAACAATGCAGAAGATAAAGAAACACATGTAGAAGTGACCAGCTCTCCGAAAGAGAAGAAGTGTAAGGCAGACAAGAAAAATGATAATTCAAAAAGCCTTCAACGTAGCGTTGAGGACTCGTCGTTATGTCCTGATGACGACCTTGAAGGAGTTAAGAAAGACCAAAAAGACCCTGTATCTCCAATTCCTAGCAGCACAAAGAAAGTGAAAGTAGATTCTCTGAAGCCAAATTCTAAGACAGTAACTAAGGAAAAGCAGCAAGCGCACCAGAACGTAAAAGGCAGTATCAAGGCAAACAAGGTTTCACAGCCATCTGTAAGTGAAACAAAAGTAGCTGATCAACCCGAGAGTGATGTGAAATCCAAAAGGGTGAGCATCCTTGAACTTTGTGAAGAAATTGCGGGTGAAATTGAGTCAGATACAGTCGAGGTGAAAAAAGATTCCCCTAATGCTGAGTGTAGTAAAACAGAAGAAGAAAAGCATGCTGAAGTACAGCTGCAACAAAGTGAAACGCTTACTCAGAAAGAACCTGCTCAAAGTACTCAGTGCAAACGTTTTTTCCCTAGCAAAAAAGGAATGCCTGTCAAGTGTACTTTGAATGGTAGAAGTAACTCCTCAAACAAAAACTCTAAATGGACCAAAATCAAATTACTGAAAGCTAATAACGTGAAGCAGACTAACTTAAATTCTGTTAATGCTCCCAAGCTTTCTTTGTTAAAAAATTTCCCTGAAGTTTCAGAGGCAAGTCAAATAGCTACAGAAGCACAGCATTCTAAGGCAGAAGGTCAGCTGCCAGTGACAAGACTGTCTGAGAATGAAAGTGCAACTTGTGTGCAGGACAAGTCAGACCCTTCATCTGAAAGAGCTGGAAGTAAAGAAGTGGCGTTAGAAATGAAACAACCCACGAAAAGAGGTGCGGAAAATGGTTTGTTGCATAATTTGACAAAACATTTCTCTGAGCCACGACCTGATGAGGTAAGTCATTTTAGTTACAACGCCTGATGGGGAGGGTGTTCTGAGTCTGTTTTGTTTTCTGAGAATGCCCTGCTTAGAAGGTTTGTTTTAACAATGACTTTATTTTACAGTAACTTACGCTTTCAGATGTGTTAAAGGTCCTGTCACTGATGTGTTATCATAGATGAAATGACAGTAAACTGGAAAATGGATCTGTTCATTCTCCCAAGTTCCTTAGCCAATTAAATGTTGGTGGTTAAAAATTTCCTGCTGCAGCCAAAGGTTGTACAGGTTCATCTGGATGTTTTGTGATGACTTAAGCTTTTCTGAAAAGATGCATTAAAAGAAGTGGAGTGGGGGGAGTGTTCTCTACTTCAGTATGGACTACCTAAGCTGATGCATTTTGTCCACTTGAAATTGAATTTCAATCTATGATTGAAATAGGAAAAACTGGTGCTGTATTCAAGGTGTTAATACTGTGTTAATTGAGTGGTTTTGATAATATATTAGGGGCATTAAATAGTTGTTTGCTTTTTTTAATTTAAATCTAATCTTCTGTGTTTTATTTAGAACTTCGAGTTACGTTTGGAATCAAGTCCAGAAAGCTCTCCAGTCAAGCATCTTACAACTCCTAAACCATCAAAACAATTAAAAAAAGAGCCTGGAGAATGCAACTCACAAGGTAATTGCTTACTAATAATTTTTGTTCTTTTTCTGATCAGCTGCATTGGAAGTAACAGTATTCCTTCCAGAGGGATGTTTCACAGAGCCAAACTTCCAGAACTGGAGCTGTTCTCTGAAGGTTTTAATCTATCTTTGCACCTAACACAATAACCATGTTAGTAGCAGCAAATGTGGTTTTATCTGAGGGTTCTGAAGTGAGAAGTAGTATGTTTTTCTTCCCAGCTCTACTTCTGGTAATTCTTTGTGCTTTATGCATGAATATTTTAATGCTTTAATGTGCTCCATTTCAGCGTAAGTGAAGTGACAACTTCTTCATAAGCAAGCACAAAGAACAACCTTTCCGTGTAATAAATTAATAAGAAAACCTTCAATTTTTCAATTTGTGTCTCTTTTTGTTAATGATCCTCTACTGGTTCCCACTTCTTTTGCATAGATATCAGCATTTCTTTCTTCTAATTTGTTGTGCTTAATCTTGACCAACTTATGAATTGTGCAATCGCTCTCCCATTTTATTATGTATTTTAGTTTTTTCAGCCTGTGAATTCTGTTTGTAAGACCTTGTAATTAGTGAGATGTAAATATTTTAGCTCATGTATGCTTGATTAAGAAATACTATCAGTGGATCACTAGCATATCTTTCCCCTTGAAGTTGTTCATCCTTTTGTTTTGTGTTCTAGAATTCTTTATTTGATAGGGTTTTGTTTTGTTTGAAAATCTGATCTGGAGAGCACTGCTTAATTATTTTGTTCTATTAACCAGTTACAATTTTACTACTATTTTAGGATATTTTTCTAGTGCTGAATACTCTGTGCTGTAAGAGAATGTGAAAATGTGGTGGTTTTTTTTTTTTTTTTTTTTCTAAATCTATTCTGAATTGCTGCTTCAGTGTCATGGAGCATGCTTCAGGTGATGGCATTTATGATTCTAATACTATAAACTCTGGTGTAGTTTCACTGCTGCCCGTGCTTAGCGGTTGGCAAGCTGCTCTGCATGAAAAAGCCCAGAAAATGTTAAAGAAAATTGCATATTGTTTAAGTATATGTGGTGAAACACTTGAATACTGCCTCAAAAGTTGCATCTTTTTATTGGTTATGAGCAAATTGCAGCATTATCTTGAACTTCAGTAAATTAGTTTCAGTGTTTAAAAGAACACGCTGTGTAGTTCAAATTTCCATTGTAGCTAATGACTTTCTAATGCAATGACCATCTTTGGTTAGTTGTAGGTTTGGCTCCAAAGCAGTTGACACACACTTCATCTACAAATCAAACTTCTGAAACTGAGAACAGGTATAGTATTTCATACGTGATGGAATGGCTGTAACCTTTCTTAGAGTTACGACCGTTTTTATTATGAGACTGGTCTCCTAACCTCAACTTCCAATTCCAAATCAGTAGTTTCTTATTTTTATTAAATAAAAATAGACTTCAATTGTATCTAGTTGTTAAAAGATATTTTTGTTCTGTTAAGAAAGTGAAGGAAGTACTTTTAAATAACTGTACTATTTTAAAGTAGGGTTTAGCAAAGTCAGGCAAACATTTCTAATAATCATCTGATTTGAAGAGGAGACTAAGCAAAAGTATGTAAGGAGGAATTACTACGTGATTTTTGCTTAGTGGATTTTTTTGTCTACTTGTTTTAAGGATTTTCCTAATCCTTAAAGTAGGATCTTCTTTGTATATGTGTTTTTTTTCAGGTAAGGAAAAGAGCACTTAATTTGAGACTTTCGTGTGATTGCTGTAAAACAAAAGTTCTGTGCTCTTTTGGTCAGCTGCCTTAAAGAAAAGGGATGTTGGAACTATTAAGTTCAAACTGCCACTGTGTGCCTGATGTTCAGATTGTGTAGACTTGTAGCTTTTTACTATAGTTTTATGACATACTAAAGAAAATAATTTCTTCATCCCTAAAATCTTGAACAGCAGTGTAGTTGGCACAGTGGTTAGTCAATTGCTTCTTCTTTCTATATTCATAACAAAGACAAAGAATGATTCATTTGCAGTTCTTCCTCTGAGAACAGATTAACAGTTCAGACTATCCAACACTTTTGTACGTGCTAAACCATACTTGTGGAGTCTCACAGGCAGTGAGGGTTAACGTAGATGTAAGTCTAGTTAAAGGAACGTGTTCGTTTGTAACTGTTCAATAGCTTTCTGGCATTTACTCAAGTGTACTACATTTTTAGCCATAATATCCGTATTGCCTTACTGTTATGGGGATGCATATATCCTGAGAGCTTTCTTAGCCTGATTTCCACGTTACCTTGATTTGTCCTAGGCTTAAACCATCATTCTGTCTGTGGTACCCTGCTATAATGCAAGAGTAATGCATATTAGCTACAGCATAGCTCTCTTTTTAGTTGCTTTATCAGAAAAGGTTACAGGGAGAAAAAAGCAACCCTTAAAGTAGCCAGTTAATGCAAATTTTGGGGTGTGACTATGACAGACTTAAACTGACTGAGAGTATTGTAGCAATTTAAATTATTTATTCCTTAAGTCCACTTCTTCCTCCCTCTCCCCTTCCCTCTCTTCTTCCCATCTTCCCTCACTGACAGCAGTAAATCTGAATTGAGTTTGAGAGATTTATGTTATCTGTTTTATAGAGCTGTCTGGAATTTGTGGCAATACTTACAGGGTTTGCTTCAGCAGCCTGACACGTGATACCTGTAACTAGTAATCTAAACCTCACATGGGAAATGAACGGCAGTAGGCACCATCCTTCATGCTCTGAAAACACCTCTGTTTTTATTCTCTTAATAGGTGTGAATAACCTATCTTACTTGATAATAAATTCCACCTTTTTTTTTTTTTTTTCATTACGAAAAAAATCTTGTCATTGGTTTAGACACAAACTGTATTTTTAGTTAGTCCTCTTATTTCCCCATTATTCCATCTGATTTGCAAGCTAAAATATATAGGGCTATGTTTTGGAGCTTGAAACTTACATTTGCATCCTTTCAAAGTTTGGTTATACTAATCACAATGGTTTTAAGTGTCTGGAATGACAGGTATGAGCAGTCCCTTCTTAATATGAAATATGTTTGTATTTCTAGGGCTCCATTGACAAATCCTACATTAACATCAAAGTGCAGTAACTTGCTGCCATCCGAGGAGCACATTCAAAAGCTAAAAGAAGCAGGAAAAGATGGTGAAAAGCAGCTGATCATAGTAAGTAATGCCCTTTTAGTAAGGTTTATAGTTTTCTCAAACAGCTTATTTTTGAATTAGCAGTGCTGTGTTTTTAAGAGCAAAAGTCCTCACTTGTATGTACTACTATTGCTATTCTTACTGATTCATGGAACTGAAACCCTTGCTAAATTGTCATTTGGTATTTTTAGAGGGAGTGGTAGCAGAGTGACTTACATTTAAAAGTGATTCTTGTTAGAAAAATTCCGCTGCTTTGAAAAGACTGACTGCTCAGTAGAAGTTCATTTGCTTTAGGGATAATGAATGTGCATTTGCTTACATGCAAAAACTCAGTTTCTTAATATTTCAGATGCATAGGGGGATTTGCATCTGGTAGATGTGTTGTGAATGGTTTTATTCCTGCAACATTCAAGTCTGCAAGGTTCTGAGACAAACTTTTTGTCTTGGAACAAGTGTATTTTTCTATGAACACACTGGTTTTCACCATAGTATGTCACAGAAGCCTTGGGAAATTGAGATCTGGGAAGCTGCTGAGGGAGGGGAAGCCAGAGCGTTAGGAAGAAGGAGCCCATGGGATGCTTCTCAATGAGTTTACCACTCTCATGTTGCGTTGATGTTCTGGCTAAACTGCAGTATTTTTCATGTAAGACATGAATTATACATAGGAAAGTATTAACCAAAATAGAACCAGCTGAAACTCCAAATGCTTTAATATTTCAAAAGCAGAACTTCTAAGAAGTGATTTGATAAGAATATCCTTGATTTGCCTAAATGATACCCGTTTAGATGCTTGAATGCACAGAATGGTAAACAGTATAAAATAGTATATTATGAACAGTAGCTAATAGCAATAACAATAGCTAAGAATTTACTGAAGTAGTTTGGCTGTTGCCTCTTTAAAAGTCATTTTACCAACAAAGTTAATGTGAGTGATTAAATAGCTACTTAGAAAGAATTGTAGAGTATTCCTCATCACTGCAGTGTATTTTACATATTTTTTTAGTTAACAGAGTGTGACTGATGAGTTGCTTAGGACCTTTGGCAAGAAGAAATAACTTGCTGCTTAGCTACTGAGGGGAGTAATTTTTTCACCAGATATTCAAGTAAAAGTTGTAAGTTGTTTAATCCAGCAACATTGTAGATTATAAAGAGTGGTCACCTCTGAAGAGTAGTAGGAGAAATGAGAGAGACCTAGTGCTTGTTTTCTGTAAATGTGCACTTTCCAGAAATATTTACAAAATGTGGTGTTTACTTGTAAGCAGTAGCTTCGTACCATCTAGTATGTTTTAGTTCTATCACTTTGTGCAAACCTAATTCACTTCAATTTCACCCTGTTTGGAGTTGACTTTTTTGTTCTCTTGAAAGAGCATTTTGGTAATTGCCCACAGTTTGCTTTACCTGCAGAGCACTGGGGAATGTAGTACTCAGATATTCTGTTAGCAGTACCAAAAATACTGAGGATCTCAAATGTCTGTTATGCCACCCTGTGAAATTGATGTTTGTTACTGCGGGGACAAGACAAAGTTGTGTCAGCAGTAGTTTGTGCTAACATCTGGGGGTGAAGGAATTGCTAAGTGGGCCTTTGAAGTACATAGTTCATACAAATGCTCAAAAGAATGGAATTAAAGGCATCTAACAAACTATGGTACTTTTTGAAGGTAATAGTTGTGTTTTGCAAAGTCGTGGTGAATTTCTGAAATGTTCATTCTGAATGGCTGAACAGCTCTGAGAGATCTGGGGGGAACTGGTTCTATGAATTGGTTTTTGTTGTTCTTAAGGGGGTGGGTTTTTGGTGTGGGGGTTTTTTGTGTTTGTTTGTTTTGGGTTTTTTTTGGAGATAGTTTCAAAGGTGCTTGTGTATTTCTGCAATGCTCCTCTAACAATAGTGATGCAGTCTCATTCTTCTTTAATTTGAACAAATATGAGAAGTGCTGTTTTTATTCAGAGCAGGGAACATTTAACTCACTCTTTGTTATATCTTAAAGTAAGTAAATGCCTGAGAAGTGCCTTTTAACTCTCTTGATGGTATCTTGAGGTTCAGAGTTTGAGATGTTAAAAATATCATCTGTGTGTTCTAAATGTTTGGGAAGATGGTATGATGAAGCTAGGCATTGTTTTCTACAGTATGCCTTAATTTTTGTACTCAGTCCTTAAGGGTATATATTACTTTCCTTCTTCTTCCAAGTGATTTTTTTCTTTTTTTTTTTTAAATATAGAATTCTTAACAAGCTTTAAGGCTATTTAATTGCAAGTAAAATAATGACTTCCATTTGTAGAAGCAGTTCTTACTAGCTGTACTTGCAACGTTCTTTTTCTTGGTGTACATCATCTAGTCATCTGAGCAACTTTCAAACATTACATCATCGTTGTATAAAGGCAGAGCTAAGACAGGATGAGTTGTTTCCGTGTTCCTCAGATTTGCTTTGTCTTGCACATCCTAAAAAGCAGAGATCTTCCAAGTGTGACACTTAAGCTGAAAAAAAAAAGAACAGGGAATCTAATGCTGCAGCTCTTTGTAAAACAAGCAGTGATGGAAAACAGTGCTACTCAATGTGATGTGCAGTGAGGTAGGTTCTGAGCTAGGTACATTTGCAGGAAGGTCAGATTGAGCTCCAAAATATATGTTCCAACTCCCCACTTCAGAGAAGTAATCTGTTCTGAATGTCTGTGAATTGTACCATACAGGTAAAGTGAAGTTCCAAACTGGAACTTTTACAGAATTATGCACTTTTTTTCCTTATATTTGAATATGAAATCACCTGTTCTTTCAGTTTCACAAGTTAAAGGAAGTGTAAATGTGCAAAGCAAGTACTGTCAGCTTGCATGAGATCTTGCTTTAAATCCAAGACGAGGAAAGTCATCTGTTGTTTTCTGGTGAAATTCTAATTTCCTGCCACATCTAGAACAAAGTTTTGACCATGAAAGTATGAAGTGAGAATGCTACAAAAGAACGTTCTGAGTAGTATCTCTGTAGCTCACAGGTTTTCTTCCATTTTATGCCACTAAGGACACATGTTTCTCTGCAAATAAAGCTAGTCTGTTGAAAATGGTGCTCACCAGTTTTAGGGAACATGTACAGTGATTGAACAGTGAAGGCACATAATCAAAGTGATAAAAAATAAAGCATTGCAGAGGTTCTTCTGGCTTTCTAATGATCTAAGCTAATACCTGGATGGAAACAAGCCTGAAGAATTGTAGGTGATTTTATGAATGTCAGTAATTGCATGGATCAGGATTGCTTGATGAAAAGTACTTTGATTCTGGTGCTGTGTATGGAAGTGGTGTGTAATTTAATTCAGTTTATACATTTGAATGTCATACTTGAAATATTCCATATATTTTGTTTAAACTTGGACATAATTTACAATTTGACTGAAATAGATGTTTTCATTTAAGTTGAAACCACAGTCCTTGATGGAAATAATAAAATAAGTGTAGAATTGTTTTCTCATGAGCTTGAAGAAACTTGTATAACAAGCATTTAAAATAGCAGATTTCTTCCTTAAACTGGAACAGTCCTGTCGGCAGTTTCTCTGAAGAAGTGGAGAGTGATTTGGGGTCAATATTGTGGTGTTCTCAGTGGTTACACGCCGTCTCCTGCAGTCCCAGTGAGAACAAGGCAGTGGTTACTGTATGAACGTCTGGGAAGGGATTCAGTGGAGATGAGAGCAGTGAGTCTCCCTACTTCTCGTGTAAATCTTACCCTCTAGGACAGCTCTGCCCCTCGTGGGACTCTAATGATCACCGTCTCTCATTGTCATTCCTTCTCATTTCTGCTCCACCAGCAAAGCCCAGCTTTCTCTATCAAATCCAGGTGGCGTGTGTTCAGCATCCTTTGTCCTGAGAGTTTTGAAGACTGTTCCCTAAGGTTAGCTGGGACCTGATGCAGGAATTCAAGCACATCAGGGCACTCTGTGATAAACTTGAGCTATGTTTTCACATGGGTTGAGAATGGATTGTGCAGATTTGGTTTTTAAGTTTGTATTTTTTTCATGTTGCTCTAAGTGATGACCAGTGAGGACATTTCATTTTGCATTTTCTCTGATATATTAAAAAAAACAACAACAACAACAACAACAAAAAAAACCCCACAAAACTGATGCATCACAGTTCTGAAAGTTCTGAGTTGGCTAAAATTTCTTTTCAGAAAGATGAGTGTTGCTGGTGATTTATTTTCTTGTTGCTGTTGTTGTAATTGCCACGCACAGCAGTTCATTTCCAAGTGAAACTTGTTTCTGAGTTGGGTCGTGTCTTCCGATGCTCTCATCCAAGGGGATCCACCCATCAACTTCTGTCTTGAATGCATCTTTTGTTTAAATGGCGTTCTTTGATGTTTTCATTTGCTGTGGGGAGCCTGAAAATCTCTGTGTTGTTCCTTCTTGTTCTTCTCCATTGTATTTCCTTTCCAGCCTGCCTGTTTTATGGCTGGGTTATATTCTTGCTCTATATGAGAAGATGAGAAGAAAAAATAATCTTGCTCTAACACACACTAGGTAATAAAGGAAGAGGTGACCTAATCTGTGCCTGAAGAGAGAGGGAAGAGTAAAAAAAGGCCCCTTTTCATCTCCTACAGAGGCACCAAATGCCTTTTTTGCTTGCAGGGCTCCCTATTCCACACATGGAGGATCAGCAGACATGCATCTTCTCAAAGAAGATATTGGTAAGACTTTGCTTTCTGTCTAACACAGATTTAAGAAATCCTTCTGGAGAATGAGACAACATTGTTGCAACATTCCATTACAGTTAGCCTAGAAAAGCAGTGCCTCACCTCTCCTTTACTTTTATGAGTGAGGATTGCCTGATGTATCGGGAATGCTTAACTGCCATCTGCGCTTGCAGAATCTCATTTGGAAGTAGAAGTATTCCTGCTCCTCATTGTTTCTGTTTAGAAAACTGAGATTTCCATAGAATAACTCATTTTTCTTCCTACAACCACACATTTTCTTAAATGCTCCTCTGATAAAACCTCTTTGAGTTCTGAGAGCCAAATCAGACACGATTTTCTAGTTCTGGCAAGTCACAGAATCAGAATTGCAGGGGTTGGAAGATCGAGAGATTGAGTCCAAGCACCCGTTCTAAAGCAGGTTCCCTACAATAGTTGTCAGTATATTTATTGTCCAGTTTCTAGAATCTGATGTTGGCTGACAAGATTGAAGCCCATCAATTTGAAGTTAAAGCAAGATAAACTTAAATAAATACCATAATTAGATTGTGAGAGCATGTTGGGTTTTGTTTGTTGGCTTGTTTGTTTGTTTTTAATTCCCCACATCTGAGTTTTTAAGGGTTTCCTTTTCTCCCAGGTGTGGTGCATAACGCTGGTTTGTTCGTATGTCTTCCCATTAGGGAGAACTGGCGACCTTGAATGCGGTGTTGTTTGGGAGCACGTCTTACTCTTGATGCATGCCTTTTCCCCTTTTACTTTTGCAATGGTGCAAGGTTAAAAATAGCCAGATTCTCGAGATGTTTTCTCAAAGTGCAGAGTGCATTCTTCATAACTCCTAATTTTATTTTCCGTGTTCTAGTTTTGTATCATATGGATTTACAGAGCTTTTTTCTTTTTCTTCCTTGAAGCGTCATGTCCTGCAGTGTGTGTCTGAAACTCTTTTTCAATTACAAAAAAAGGCTATTGCCATTATTACCCTCAGGACACTGCTAAGTATTTGCTAAACAAAAAAAAAAGGAAAATAGAGGCAGCATTTGTCGAGGCTACAGAGTTCAGAAGATTGCTGTAGATGCTATAAAGTGTTTTTCTGACGTTCACATAGCAGATTTATAGCACTAACCTGCTTGTGTGTCGCACATTGGTGCAACTGAGTGCGTGTCAAAATGATACCAGCAACATCTAAGGAAGGCAAACTATCAAATATGGCAATACTGCCAAGACAGCATGTGCATTTACAATATGAGATGGGACAAGCTAAGGAGCTTGGCAGCTTTGAGGGTTTTCTAGCCCCTTGTTTTTAATGACATCCTATGTAGCTATTTTATTTTTTGTTTGGTTTTGGCTTGAGATAGGTGTTTTGGCTTAATCACCATTAATTTCTCATCAAGTTGAACTGTTTCATTGTTGAATTGTTTCATTGCAATACTGATATGTTAGGAGTTACTTTATGTAGCAGATTTTCTAATTACTTTTTTTTTTAAGTGTACTCCAAGCACCAGAGTAGATTCCTTCTTCACTTATTGTACCCTCGACATGAGGCGTATGTTGTCTACCTTCATCTAGAAATTGTTTGGTTCATTTTAAGATAATCACCATGCATCCCTCCTGCTGAACTGCCTTTTCTCTCATAGATAAGCCCTTGAGCATATTTTGGTGACCAGATGGGGACCTCCTTTGGTATTATGTTGCTTCCTTAAGGGAAGTCTACAGGTAGAATGAAATGTACTGGATTCAGTTTTTACACCTTTAGAAACTTCATCTTGTCCTGACTTTGTGAATCTAACCTCAGGATGCATCTCTCTTCTTCCTTCATCAAAGTAGTGTACTTCTGTTTGTCTTTCTGTATATGATATGAATGCATGAACTGGCACACTGTGTCAGATTCACCTTCTTTCTTCTGGCTGACTTCCACGCATGTGCTCTTATAGAGAAGTTCAATTCTGGATCTGCGTGACCAAAGCAGTTGTACCTGTAGTCTCTTCTTGGAAAGAAACTGATACCTACGTGTTGGAATTCTCTTAATGACTGCTTGAAATAAGTTGCTCTCTGTGGAGAACTGAGCTGGCACGCAGCGCTTAGACTTGCTTAAAAATATCTTTGAAGATGGAAGGAGTAAGAAGTAGCTAATCAACACTTCTGCACTGTAACAACATGCATTTATCTGTGAAGTAGACCTGTGAATGTATCAGCTATTAGCAAACAAATGTGGGTGATATATTTTCTAGCAAACTGTGTACTTTCAATTTGTGCACAAATATCTATTTCTTTAAAAACAACATGCACAAAGCCTCATCTTTTGCTTATAGAGTATCATGTGCATCAGAGCATACAATTACTTTGTAATATGTTATATATGTTAAAGTAGATTAAAAGTGACGTTTACTGCTGCTTTCATAAACACAATTTTCAGATGTAGTTACAGAAAATTGCGTTTGAGCATTAAGCCAAAATTGAAGACATGCTTTTTCTGCTGGAGTCTTCAATCTAAACTGGTTTTGTTTCACTCTTTGTGAAAGAGCACTGTCCTCACCTGATGCTGCAATCCTTATTAGGCACTGACTGCTCAGTCTGAGCACATTTCCAAATTAATATTGCCACCTGGATGAATAAATCCCAAAGCAATATGTGCTGAGTGGTGCCCTCAATTGGAAAATGCTTGGTTGTAGAGTTGGAGGGTTGCACAAGGGGTTTACAAGTAAAGTTGTATGATCCTCCATTCGTATTGTAGCTGCAGAACTGTAGAGCACACCAAATACTGTGGGTCTGGATGTGGTTTAGTGTGTGTGAAGAAATGGTTGTATTTACTGCAAGTAGTGTAACAAAGGCAGTTGGTGGGGTTTTTTTTAATAGAGAAAGAAGTCCATTGTCCATACCGTAGGAAGGATGAAATCTAATTTTAATAAGGGTAGTGTTCTAATGATAGGCAGTGTATGTCTCTTTTAAGGCTGTGTGGGCTTTCGAAAGATGGAATTCTAATTTCTCTACTTACTATTTCTTGTGTTTCACTCAAATTTGGCCTCTGTATTGAATGTGTCTAGAAGATCAGTTACACTGTTATAAAGGGCATTTCCAATGAGATGGAAGCTCTGTTATATTTTTTGTGCTTGGAACTGACATGGCTTTTTTTTTTTTTTTCTTTTCTTTCTTTTTCTTCCATAGGATGCAGGACAGAAGAGATTTGGTGCTATTTCTTGTAATATTTGTGGAATGCTTTATACTGCATCAAATCCAGAGGATGAAACCCAACACCTGCTCTTTCATAACCAGTTCATAAGTGCTGTAAAATATGTGGTAAGAAAATATTATCTTTTACTTGCTGTGTACTACTTAAAGTTCATGCTACACTGTCATGTTTGAATAGATTAATATCACAGGAGGCCACGAATCCACTGTTGGAAATAAATTGTTTCAAAAGCCATAGTAGACAGGCTCTATGTCACTTTCAAAAGCATTCATTAGGATAGTGATGTTGCATTGCCATTATATTCCTTTTGTACAGTTCCTCAGTTGTGGGAGGTGGGGACACGGTGGTGGTAGGAAGACAAAGTAATGTCACTGTTTTGAGAGAGCTTAATACAGGTTTGTGCTTGCAGTGGTCGGACTAATTGTCAGGAACAGATCTGACTTTTTGTAATTGTGTAATGTTAGCTGACTTCTAAATTGCTTTTTCTTAATTAGATGCAGTTCAAGAAGACTGCCTGACAGTCCAGTTGATAGAACATCACAGTTTTTTGAAACTTTACCAAATTTATAGTGCAATTGTAATTTTTAAGTATAAATTTCAACCATTGTTCAATAGGTTTGTTCTGTGTGCTCTAGCTAAGTATCTCTCCTATTCAAACTGAGACAGAAAAATTTTATACAATTTGTCTGGCACTGTAAAATCAGCTATTTCTCAGTAGCTGATATTACAAGATCTATAGGAAATATCTGTTCACATGTCTGAAATCCAGAACAGAATCCCCAAAGTCTATTTTCTTTATCACACATGTTACCTTCAGTACTCTACACTCGAGTAGATAAGACCTCCAGGATAGCTGAACTGAGGCCACCAATTCATTTCATGTACGTACCAAACGGCAGTAGGCTGCTTTTAAATCTCAAGCTCAATTTATTCCATGATTCATAAATACAAAAATATACCTTCACAGCTAGCGTTTGAAACTGCCTGGTAAATGGTTCTGGTACTTGTTCTGCTCTTGGTTAGTTTTTGCTGAATAACGCAGACATCTTGAAAGATCTCTTCTGCTACGTGACTGCCACCTTGTAGGATGAGAAACGTTTTCCCATTGTACTCCTATTTGCCTTCCCCCCATATTCCCACGTATTTTAAGATCTTAAGTGTTACCAGAGATGTAAAGATAAGTCACTAGAAAGCGTCAGTTCTTTTGAGCAGAAGCTGGTGTATGAGTTCAGTAGATATTTAAAGCAGCTGGGTTCACATGGAGATAGGAAGCTGCACTGACGTTTGGAATCAAATATTTCAGAGATTGAAAGAGCTGAAATTTCTTACTTGTATATAAAAAGTGAGAGGACTGCCTTAAAGCAGCTGTAAATAACTGAAGTTAGGGAAGGTTTACCTCAAATGAAAAGCATACCTACTGTTCTTTCTGCTGCCAGGCATCTTGTTAAACTTCACGCAGTTTGTATTTAAGCAAATGGTTTGCCTTGTCAGTTCAGTAAGTGAACATCTGTATTTCTCAAAAGTTAGGGCTTCAGTTACGTTTCATGACAGATGACTACAGAGTGGTGATACAGCTGGGTATTCTGTACCAGAAACCATAGGGTAAGGTGCAAAGGAAGGAGTTTTTGAGTCTTTAACTTTCCCTCTGGCTTTTTTCCCTCATAAAAATTTGACTGACTCACTTTTCTGCCTTGCTAGGTAGATACGTCTCTACAACTAATCAGTCGTTGGTGGTTTGTTGACTGTAGAGTCGTAGTGTTCATGACAGAAATGCCTTCACCTCCTCTTAGAAAATAATTAGAATTGTAGATAGGCCTTCTTGCCAGTGAATTAGTACACTAAGTATCTTCTTACTAATGCTTTGTTGCCCAGATACCAGAAGAATGCTTGCTTGCTATCCTACTTTTGCTAGGAGGTTTCTAGTGGGGATTTCTGAAAAGGTGATTTGGAGGAGATGTGCTTGGTTTCTGAAGACTTATATGTAGTTACTGTATTGAACCTGTAACTGCATTCCTTTCCCTGACAGAAGAGATGTTGCCATCAGGCAATTAGAATGTTTTAGAGAAGATCTTAGTTCAACCTAGGTGACCTTGGATGTTACTGTGTTGGCTCTCCAAATGTTGGCTTTATGTCATTAACACATGTGGTGCTATTGTTGATTTGGAGACTGTTTTAAAATATTTTAGGAGCATATTGGTTTCCCGTTATTAACATTCTTTATCACATACAGTGCAGTCCCAATCTGACCTGAGATGACTTTTCCAGTGCCTGAAGGGAGCCAATAGGAAAGCTGGGGAGGGACTTTCTATAAGGGCAGGTAGGAACAGGATAAGCAGAAATAGCTTTAAACTGGAAGAGTAGATTTAGAGTAGATGTTAGAAAGAAATTCTTTACTGTGAGAGTGATGAGACACTGAACAGGTTGCCCACTGAGGCTGTGGGTGCCCCATCCCTGGAAGCATTCAAGGCCAGGATGGATGGGGCTGTGAGCAACCTGATCTAGAGGGAGGTGTCCCTGCCTATAGCAGAGGGTTGGAACCAGGTGATCTAAAGGTCCCTTCCAACCCAAACCATTCTATGATTCTCAGCCTTTCTCCCTATTGAGTGTCTCTTGTTATGTACTTGGTGTTTCTGTTGATGATTCATCTCACAGAATCACAAAAAGAAGACTGTATGTATATGATGGCAGAGCTTCTGTTACTGTGAACTGTGAAAACTGGCTTTATTGTTGTTGTTAGTGGGCTTGCCCTTCTTCATGCAGCTGCTTTGTGGGTTATTTTTGCCTTTTTTATTTAAGTACCAAGTAGCCAGAAGATAGTCTGCGTATAAACAGTAAGTTATTTACTGTCTTCAATAGAACATATTTTTTAAAACATGTTCAAAATATCATATGTATATTATATAGTATGTTTTAATTATTTTCTTACCTTTAGTAAAAAATCTTTTCTAGATATCTCTGTAAGTTGCATGATGTCCTCAGAGGTAGGACAGCCTGGCAAGGAGATGGCAGAGAAACTCACTTTGTCACTGATGGCTGACAGAGACAACAAGGAAGTTGCAGGCCTTATGTGGAAAGAGAGAAAAGTTGGGAAGTGGAATGGTATTTTCTAGATTAGGGAACAGCAGATTGGCAAGGAACGGTGTGGCTTTCCTGAAGGGTGATATTTGCTGTTAAACAGAAGTAAGCAAACTGGAAAAGCAAGACGATAACGTGGTCAGGGACAGCACTGAACAGGAGCAGTGTAGGAGATGTGCTGCTATAGACCAACACAGGAAGCTGTCTCACTATCCTTCTGGTTTCAGACATCTGAAAATCTCCAGAAAAATACACCATTCTGGCATGTGCTTGCGTTGTGTGATGGCACACACATCAGCTGTTAACTTCAGTGCTAAAAAGTGGATGGATATGTGATTCAGTTTCAGATTCAGACATATAGCTGTCTCTGTGACACCACGTATTATCGATTCAGTATTTCAGCACAGACTTTTTTTGAGAGAGACATTATTTTTAATGAGGTTTTTATGTTGTGAAGATAAATATTTAAGTTAGGAAATGTCTGTGGATTTGGTTGCATGCTGTGAATGCAGTTAATGCAGTGTTTGTATTTCTAGCTCATTCTCTCAGTTAAGAGCTCAAGAAAGCAGAAGGAACTGTTTGGGCTGATGTCAAATCTGCCTAAGTTTTAAACAGATATTCTACTGAACAGCACAGGTTTGTCACTGAGATTCTTAGGATTTTCAGGTCATAACGACCAGCTTCCTGGAAGCTGAGGTTAACAGACTTGAAGATGCTGATCGGCTTCATGTCATCTTCTCTTGATTTGCATGAATTCCAAAATTGATAATTCTGTGCAAAGTTAAATGTAATAGCACAAATTAAGTTCTTACCATTAGCAGTCTTCTGTAATATAGTTTGTGAACTGTGTTAGAACAGCTGCATCCACTGATCTTAATGCCTAAGTTCATTCTGTAGTCGGAACCCCTTCTCCGTGTTACTTGAAGGGAGGCTGGGTATCTGGGACTTGATGAAAGAGGCAGGAAGAAGAATGCACTGGGCCTAGTTCTCTGCTGCAAATTATTGTAATGTTTCATACTAAAGGGAAAATTCCACCAGTGCTTTTCTACGTGAAGGTATCTAGAATTATTAACCACGTCTCACTCTCTAACTCAGTCGTTTTGGGGAAAGAAATTGTGTAAGAAAAGTACACCACCACTTTTGATCTGTATGTGTTCACTTGGGAAATAGGGCATACAGTCAAGCCAGCACTGACAGAAAAATACCAGCTTTGCTGTCATACTTAGTACCCTTACCTAAGAACTTCTACAACATGAGGAAATGCACAGGAAGCAGTCTCTCTGTGTTTTCCAGTGTATGTCTTTAGAAGCAAATCTGTGTCAGACAGTGTCACTGAGCACAACATGCTGTGTGTAGAACTGAGCTCAGAACACTTGAGTTACAGGGCTGTGGGAGCCCCTTTCCACCTGTGTGCTGCATTGTCAAACACGTATCCAGGGTGCTGCAGTGCAGCTGTATTTACTGTCCTTACCACTTCATCCTGATGGACTAACAGCTTTGTCCTTTTTCTGGTCTCTTCTGTACTTTTATTACTGTCATACTCAAGTAAGCAAGCACAAGCAATCTTCAGTCGTGTTTGAATTGGATGGGAAAGTTATCAAATAGCTTGGAACATTATGAAATATCAGGTAGCTTTTCAAGCATTGTGAGTCCCTGTGGGGTAAATAGCCATGGCATGGAAGGGAACAGGGCATTGCAACTGTTAGTATGCACCAGTGGGGCTCGGTGCAGCACTCATCTGCCCATCTGTGGTGATGAGGTTGTACGTGCCACACTACAGCTACTCATGTAGGTCATCTGCTGTTTTTGAAAGGCTTCCAGTGTCAGAGAGGAGTGGTATAATCACCTTCTTCTACCCCAGGCCTTTGCAGAACACGTGTCCTGGTGAGAACAAGAGCTTCCCTTTTCATTCAGTTCATCACAAGCGATGTACAGGAGTGACAGGGCATCTTGTTCTGCAGTAAGTCTCATTGCCCTGAAGTAATGTCAATTAAAAGGGAAAGGAAAAGCATTTTCTGACATTGTAGTAGAACACTGTAAAATACACTGCAGACACTACTCTTTTGTTTCGTACTGTGGTAAAACGTTGCTGCCCTCTGCCTGCATTACAGTCCAGTTTTAGTGACAAATCTCGTGCATGATTTCTGTTACTTCCTTCCTAAGGCAGAAAACTAAGGATGCTGGGGAAGCAGATACATGAAATGTTAGTTTGTGTGAAATGCATGGAGCTGCTTCAGTAACAAGGGGCTTAAATGTGTCTTCTCTAAGGTAAACCAAATGAACTAAAAATGTTAGATGAGCTCAGCTTTTGCAGAGAGGTTTTGAAGAACTGTATCTAAAAGATATGCTTCAGCATCAGTTCCAAAATTCTTGCATTTAGAACTTCTCTGATTAGTTCCTATATGGTACCAATCAGTTAAGAAAATAAATAGGTAAACAGTAGTGAGTTCGGAGTATTAGAGAGCAATTTTATCTTTACAGTTATTGTATTTTGACTGATTTAGATTTAGACTTCTGCTTTACAGGCTGTTGCCTGGACATATAACAGCAGCGTGTTGATAGCAAAAAATGTTTCTGAACAGATTTCACTTTGCTGGAAATACCTGGCTGTTAGGGTAACAGAATGCCTGGGCTTTAAACGTAGGGAGCATTTTTGTGCATGAGGCCCGCAACGCTCTGGGTGCTGCACAGGGCTGTCTAGCTGTTGAGTGACGCTCAGAGGTGGTTTAATGTAGGTTGTCAGAAGCTTTTTTTGTCCGAGGTTGGAGAATAATAAGCCTTGCCCAATTTTTTTGTCCACCTTTTCCAGCAGTCTCAAAGCACACATCACAGTCCTACGAATGACACTTGTTTGCTTACCTGAATCGTGTCAGAGCGCAATAAATACAAATCCAAATGGTTGTGTTGATGCCTAGTGCAAGCAGTACAGAGCAGGGAGGTAGGCAGGATCTAAATGGTATCTGCGTTGCTGCTGTCGCCCTGCTGGGGGCAGGACTTGTCCTGCAGCTATTGAGGTACTGCTGGCAAGCAGGGGAGCTGCTGAAGTTATTCTCTTCACGTCACATTTGGGGTGAGGGACTGAAACCAGCACGGTGCATCTAGGTGCAGATCAAGTGTTGTAACGCCAAAGTTGGTCACTTTTTTTGGTGGTAGTGTACACGGCATTCGTTCGGTGCCGAATCGCATTGCTTGGTCTTTAGCTGAATGTTATTTTGTGGAAAGTTACGGATTGCAATGAGAATTACTCCATCAATGTTGTTTCTTCAAAGGCTTTTCCATTTGCAGTTGCTTTGCGTGAGACTTGTCGATCGGCCTTTCTAGTGGCTGAAGTTACTTCTGCATTCAGTGTTGTAGGTCCCGTCAAAGCAACTTGATTTCTGATATCTACCAGTCCCATCTTACTAGATTTAAGTGGCTTTTTTGTTTTGTTTTTTTCCATGCAGGTACTGCTCATTATTCACCACGAGTGTGGATCTGAAGAAGAGTTAATTACCTCTATTTTTTTGAGTATGTTTATACTTCAGATACACACAACGTAGCCTCCTTCCCCATTAGATTCTTAGAAGGTAGTTATAAAAATTTTTTTATAGTATCCTTCTTGTGGCTTTATTAGTAATGATCAGTAACAAAATAAACTATTCCTTACATTTTGGGCAACTGCATGCCAATCAGTTCACTTAGAACCTCCTGGAGGTCTTTCGCATGCCAAAACTTTAAAACTGAGTGTGTATTTGTGGAGGTAACTATGTTAAAAAGAAATCTTTCAATAACCAGTAGGGTTTTTTCCATTGGCTGGACTCGAAAATAAATGTGACGTAGGTGTGGAGATCAGTTGTGTGAGCCGAGCGTGCTGCTTCCATTTAAAAACTCAGTGTGCACTGCAGTCCTTGGGGGAAAAAGTCTAGCTGGGAAACGAGACGCTTTCATAAATCATTCCTAGTTGCAGTTAGGCTGTTGTATTCTACCATAAATAAGATCCCCTTATATCTCTTGTGCTCATTTTAAGACTGATTTTTAGCTGGCTGAAGTTTCCTTCGCCAGCACAACAGCTGCTAAATAGTTGGAAGTCTCTGCCTAAGTTCAGTGTCTAGAGCAATGATATGCAGTTTCTGTTTGTGAAAGTACATCTTGTATCTGGTTTAGATAAATCTGGTTTGTTTTATTTAGGGATGGAAAAAGGAGAGAATTTTGGCTGAATATCCCGATGGGAGGATAATAATGGTTCTTCCTGATGACCCAAAGTATGCACTTAAAAAGGTATGGCAAGAAGAACTAGACCTGTATATCTTACTTTGTTTGATATTTTAATATCAGTGATGGGGATGTAGAGTTAGTCAATTTAGGTGGAAGCAGTTGAGGTTGGACTCAAAGCTGCCTGATGAAATGGCTCTGCAGCCTTCTCCACAAAGAGGTCTGAGATTCCACTCCTACAGTGAGCCTCTCACAGGGAGCTGGGCCTGGGCTGAAGGGGAGGCAGGGCAGGAGCAGCTCCAGCCAACTGGTGCTCTGGCTGTTTGTGATATGCTTGCTGAATAACTGCCAGATATTTTGTGCAACAAAAATGTTCTGCTGCGTTTCAACAAATTGAAACATGCTGATGGTATTTCACAGCATGAGTGCCTTCACCATTCTCTAGATGATTCTTGGCTAAAAACAGATTTAGTGGCCTCAGTCTTCTCTTCCATTCCAGTGTCCAAAGCAGGATTTGCTCTGGTTATGCTGCATCCAACAACTTTCTAGTACTTCTAAAACTGTGGGCTTTTTGTTTGGGCCTTTTTATAGAACTCCCTGAGACTTTGTTGCAGTACTTCACTGTCCACCAGGTGGGAATTTTCCCCTCCTATCCAATAGAATCTCCATACTGCAGTTTAAGCTCATGAGTGCACGCTGTTCTTCCAAAGCAAACAACTTGTACATCATTTTCTTTAGAACACCACTAACTTTATATATTCATAGCACCGTTACTTCCAATATTGTGTGACTGCAGTGTGCATTACAGCAGCTTCCTGTGCCTTTTAATGCACCACTAAGGGAGGCCACCTCATTTCTGTGCTTTGGCACAGACCTCATCTGCTGGGTAAAGTATTGGAGTCCACATTTTGAGAGCCTGCATTCTATTAGCTCTTAGTAACTGGGGCTTAATGAAAGCTGATGTAGAGGTATCTACTCTTCCTATTTCAGCCAAGCATTATTGAAGAAATGGTTGTGTGGACTTGCTGTACATTCCTTAGGACAATCGTTACTTCTGGAATAGCTTTCAGTGTTTTATGTGCTTTAACGTGTTTCCATAAACCTGTCATTTTAATGAATGTTTGTAAGAACGTTTGTTGATATACATAATTCTTACATAGCATTTACACTTATTTTGACAGGTTGAAGAAATTAGAGAAATGGTAGACAATGACTTGGGATTTCAGCAAGCTCCGCTCATGTGTTACTCGAGAACGAAAACTCTTCTTTTTATTTCTAATGACAAAAAAGTAATTGGCTGTTTAATTGCAGAACATATCCAGTGGGTAAGTGATGACTTGGAGAAGGACTGTCTGCGAGAGCTGGTGCTTGGTAGCTGTGTTCCTCACGTTCTGCAACTACAGAAATACCTTTGAATCCAGGAGTGGCCACTGAGCTGATATGGGAGGAGGGGTGGGGGAGGTTTTTGGTGTTAAATCACTCTGAAATGTAGCCATTTATTTTAGTATTGTCAAGGCTGAGCTGAGACAGACAAGAGTTACTTTATTTGATAATGATGCTGCTATAAAGTAACAAATGTTTTGATGTCACCTGTAGGGCTACAGAGTGATAGAAGAGAAGGTTCCAGAAATTAGTTCAGAAAATGAAAAAGTCATATTTGAAAGACAGAAAGCGTGGTGCTGCTCAACCTCCCCAGAGCCTGCTATCTGTGGCATCAGTCGGATATGGGTGTTCAGCATGATGCGTCGGAAGAAGATTGCTTCCCGGATGATAGAGTGTCTGAGGTAATACTAAGGACGTTGCCGTGGTTGTACGGCTAGTTTAGAACTTAATCCAAGATGCCCTTGTGTTACTTTGTGCTTCAAGCTTGGGTTTTTAAGTCTCCCGTGATACCTGGCAATATAGGGGTGAGTGCGGCTGACAATTGCAGTACAGTGTGGGGTCAGTAACTCACGTCAGCGTGCTGCAGTATCTTGTGTTTAAAAGGGGTCTTTATGTAAGAGTTGTGAAGAGCCAGCCTGCAGAGGAATTGGGTAAATTCCTTGGGTAAATTCCTCTCAGGTAACGATGAGTGAAGGAAATCAGACTGTCCTTGGGCCGAGTGTTTGAGATCCAAGTGTTCTCCAAGGACTGTGATGCTGTCACTGGGCAGAGACCCATTCCTTAGAGGTAGGAATGGGGAAGTGAGTGGAAAGAAGGTACATACCACTATTGGATGGAGCCCTGTCAGTGCCTTACAGCTGCACTTCAGCCGTGTGTTTCTGATTCATTTTTTTTAAAGCTTTGCTCAGGTTCACCAAACGTTCTGAGAGAGTTTCAGTTTCCATGGGGCTTTAGTAGCTACTGATGAGTAGCCTCAACTGAATACTAAGTGCTAGATATGTAAAAGGACTCAAATATTTGCACCACTATTTAAACAGATGTTAAAAGATGTTGCATCTCACCTTATAGTGTGTTCTGCTGCTTGTCTGGCCTTCCAACTAGCTTGTTTTCCTAAATTTGTTCGGGTAGCCATCCAGAAAAGTACAGCAGTACCCTTGCCTATTTCCTTATTTATTCAAGCAAGAATAGAACTTACATAAAATATTTTCACAAAACAGTAAACAAATTGAATATTCCTTTTCATATAATTATTACTGAATGTGTATTGCTTAAGAATTGTGTTAAGGCCATGTTCTTAGATATTCCAAATTAATCCAAGCTGTGTTCTTATCCAAAATGTCAAACGTGATGTATTTCAGACTGGCACTTGAAATTGCATCAAACCCCTCTGTGAGGACCCTGACTTGCTGGTAGCTGTTATCTCCCTTCCTGGTGACTGTCCTTTATATAGTTGGAATAATTGGAAAGAAGTCAGAGCAAACTCCGAAACTGAACTTGTTGCAACTCCGAAGAAATGGCCCCACAGAAACACTTGTTCTAAATGAGGAAAACCTTCCCAGAACGAGGGCTTCTTTTTGCCATTTGATAAGAGGAGACAGTGGCTCACAGAGAATGAGGCTTCTTCCTGTGGAACATCCCACTCTTGATCAATGATCTGTGGCCTGATAGCATAAATAGTGTTACATTATTCCCTGAGGGTAATTCCCTTTATTTTTCCCCCCTCTCTTTTAAACAGGAGCAACTTCATCTATGGCTCCTATTTAAGTAAAGAAGAAATTGCGTTCTCAGACCCCACTCCCGATGGCAAACTCTTTGCGACGCAGTACTGCGGCACCGGCCAGTTCCTGGTGTACAACTTCCTCAACGGGCAGCAGCAGGCTTAGCTGCCCCTGAAGAACTCCATTGTAGGGGGAGACTTCTGCCAAACGGACGGAATGGGTGCAGACCTTATGCAGAAGCCAGGGCCATTTTTCTTACCGTGAACTCAGGACTGGTAACAACCAAAAGGTTGTACTATTTTATTAAAATTGTAAACAATGCAGTAATAGGCTAACTTTGTTTTTGTAAAAGAAAGATATTTTATTAACTTTTACAAAAGTTTGATTGTATTTTATCTAGTTAGTCATGTTTACATGCAGCAGAAAATTGTTCATAGTGGACTGTAAACTAATGCAAAGACTATAGTCTCACTGATGAGTACTGCTGAAGTTCTTAACGTGGTGATATACCAGTGCTGGGCGGAGCTGGGAGCCCCTCTCTCCCTGCCAGGTGAGGCAGCTGCAGGCTGCCTGCTTGGCAGAGCTCCCAGCCCTGCCCTGTGCCGGCGGAGCCAGGAGCACCTGCACAGCTGTGCTGGGCAGAGACCCTGTGGCTGCTGGTGAGCGTTGGGAGCACCTTTCTGCTGCCAGTGGGCCAGCCTGGCACCGAACCGTACCTAATGGCTTTCTGGCCCAGGGCAGGCGTAGAGTAAAAGGGGGAGTGCGAATGGCAGGGAGCGGTGTGCAATTCGTGTTCCCTCAAGCACTGTACTGAGTATATGCCTTTGTTAGTGGACTTCACTTTGGTACTTGTCACTCCTTCATAAAGCTCTCCTCTTTTAAAGGGTTTGTATGTTGAAAAACTGCTGTGGCCTTTCTTGATCTGTACATAATGTAGATAGATGAAAAATAAAATTCTTGATAGCTTTTTCTAAAGTTACTCTACGTTGATGCCAAGTGTGAATGAATCCTTCCCGTATTCATACTTCTGTATGTGAAATATGACCGTAGCACCGTGGGTTGGACGCGGGCTGTGAAGAACAATCCCTGTGCTCATGGGGTCAGAATTGCCTCTTTGGCAATCAGTGTGGGGGCAGTGGGTGCCGCTGGTCGGTTCCCAGGAGCTCTGGCTCAGCACCATCCTGCTAGGAGGCTGATGGGCTGATGAGAGGTGACAGCATCATCCTCGACTGGTGGCCTAAAGCCCTCCTGGAGGGGGGAAAGGAACTGAAATTTGTACTTTTGGTTTGCTTTGAGGTTACACTGGTTTTTCTGTGCTGGGTGCTGCCATGGATCTCCTTAACCTTTGTCTAGGGCTGAAGCAAAGAACTCACACTGCCTGTAGACTGTTCTTCACTCAGTGTGCTGCACGGAGTGCCAGTCCACAGAGGCTGCGACCAGCAGGTGTGCAAGGGCGCTATGAGCTGTGCTGCAATGGCCTCCATCACACAGCTGGGGCAGGTGCACAGAAAGCCTGGAGGTGGGCGTTGCTGGTGGGCCTGGAGAGCAGCCACTGCCAATGTCACAACAGAAGCGGTCTTAAATGGTATCTCAATATACTCAAATTTAATGAAAGCACATTATAAACATACCATCGCCACAACTTCAGACAGTTTCAGTTCATAAACAATAGCATGAGGTAGACTGACTAGTGAAGCTAAATTCACCAAGTTTTTTTTTTGGTTAAGAAAACTTTACACTAGGAAAGCGACATTTTAACTCTCTTCCAAAAAGTCACAAAAAGCAATTACATAAGTTAAGCAAAAAGCATCTGAATACGATTCTTTAAATCTTAGTTTACATTCAAATTTAACCTGTGAATAGGCAATAACATCTACAAGTAAAATATTACGCTGGCCAGTGTAATACATTCATAGGCATGGCTGTGAGGGCGAGGCTTAAATGCAACATGGAATAGCACTAATCCAGCTGTCAACCAAGGGGCTCCTTTCCAGAACTGCACTGGACAGGCCTACATGCTGTGAGCCCATTTGTGTCATCTCCCAGCAGTTCCAGACCTCCTCCTGTCTGTGCACATAGGAGGTAAGGAAATCTCTTTGCTAGGTTTGCTACTTCTTGGTACAGGAAGGCCAATATATTGACATCCTGCAGCCACTCTCAACCTCTGGGACCATTTTGCACTGTTTCACCAAAGGGCTGCATCCTCACAGCAGTCTCAGCATCCAGGATTTCAAGAACTTCTTAGTGCAAACGTTAATTATGCAAACAGAAACGATGTGATTCCTGAACACTGAGTACGTGAACCTTTGATATCGCACTGAGAGCCAGAGCCCCCCTTCAGCCCCTCTGGACAAACCGTGACTCTGGTGCTGCATTCAGGGACAAAGCAAAAGCTTCAGCAACCCCCTTTATGTCCCTGCAAGTGTTCAAATAAAAGGCAGGCTGCGACTGCAGGAAAATCAAAAATCCATCTACAGAAGGGTGGCGGTCAGTTGACATTTGCTAAATCTGCTGCATCACAGTTAACCTACATGAATACAGGCAACTCATTTTCCTTTTGCCTCAGCCTATTATGGTTTCTTTCATCCGTAAACATCTCATGAGATAAAAAAAAAAGTTGCTCAGTTACCACAGGATGTGAAAAATAAGGATGCAGCTTTGGCAGCTCCTCCAGCGAATCGCAGCTAAATAGCAACGTATTCATTTCATTATTTTTCAGAGATTAAATTAACATACCTGGACTTCTCTTAAAAACACACTGCATTTTTTCTTTCAAATAAAGGCATCGCAATGAGCCGGGAGATTTTCTCTTTTCATAACGCATAGAAACATCAGCTGGGTTACCAACGCTAAGGGCAGGAGTGAGGCTGTGTCCCAGTGGGATTTAACCCTGACAACCAAATTCTACTGCACCAGGTTCCTCTAACACAACGTACAGATTCCTGATTCTTGTCCAGCAGAAGACCACAGTGTGACTGTCACAACAGCCCACAGATCAATGAAAAACAGCTGACAACCTGAGGGGGTGCATCCAGTGGGCACTGCTTCTGGGCAGAAGCGCTCCTGAGCAGCTCCCTGGGACTTCTCCCCTTCAGATGCTGCAAGATCTCCTTCATTTGGACTCATTTTTTCTCTCTCCAGTCCAGCTCAGGCACCGATACCCTCCCAGCACCTTTGTCTGATAGATGCTGATTTACACAGAGGTGGGAATTGATAGATCTCAGCTCTGCAGCCAACTGCAGCTGACTGAGAAGGATCCGAACAGTGCTTGGCCACCCTCCAGGCACCGTACAGTCACTAAGGTTGGAAAAGACGACTGAGAGCATCCCGTCTTAATCATCTTCTGTCACCATCCACACAGCACGACGCATGGGCCACAGCTTTTAAAAACTTGGAGAAGAGGGAACCTGAAGGTCTCCTGCTGGCAGGTTGTGCTGGACTGACTCCAACTGAAGAGAGCCTCTGCAGGAGCCTCCTCACCACGTGAGCCAGCAGCTCTGTCCCTGGAGGTGAGGAACTCCACAGTGGGACGCAGTAGCATCGCGAGGAGGATCCGTGAGCACCGCCCCATGCCTGCCATGCAGTTGCTGATTTGTTCAGGTTCAAGTAGTAAACTTTGAACACCTGTGGAAATTTTGCCAAAGACAGTTTCAGTACAAACACAATTACAAATTCTGAACTAACACTGCACAGAGAACGAGACTATTCCTTTTAATACAAATATCTACAAGACGTTGTAGTTTCAAACCCCTGAGTATTACTGTACCGCAGTACAGTCTGTAGAGGAACAGTGGGCTCTCCTCTGCGTATCCTCAATAAATCCCATATGCTGCATTGAGCTTTTGTAACACATTCAAGTGAGAGGCTGCTGAAGGCAGCTTCTTCCAGAACTAACTCAGCTGGAAACAGAATTCCCCATCAGCCAAATTCTGTCCTCTTCCCAAACCCCACGGCGTGGTGGCTGCACGATCGGGGTCAGCGGTTGGGACCGATGTGACAATAACTGGAATCTGTGATCCTCAAAATTGTAACTGCTGTGATCATTTGATACCTAGGAATAAAGCCTGCTTTAGAACGCTGGGGAATCCCTTAGAGTAGTCTTGGTAAATATTGGTTGCACTTTGCTCCACAGTGATTGTACTTTTTAAAACAAACAAACAAAAAAAAGTGTTTTTTTCATGATAGGTGTCTTCTCAAAGCTTATATATGGCGGCCGGTAAGGAAATAGAGCGGTTTGTCATCACTGCTGTTGGCAGTTTGGAACTCGTCCCGCAGGCGGAACTGCCACTCGTCCTCCAGCTCCAGGCGGACGATGGTCTGTCGCAGTGAGCTCCGGTCCTGGCATATGACACACAGCGTGGCACCTTTGAGTGAAAACACAAGAGAGCCCTAAGGAACTGTGACGACTCTCAGCTTCATTCGCTGCCTGACAGCATCGTAAGCACAAGGTGCTGCTATCAGCCACAGCAGGGAGAGCATTAACCTCGATCCCCGATCCACAGATCATTACTGAAGTAATTCTGCCATCCTCAGCACAGGAGGCTGATGTGCTCACATTTACCACAAACTCACCCATTTTATCCCATGGCAATTGGCTACATGTCACTATAAAGACAAGAGAGACTTGAACGAGGTCTATAATGTCCTGGTGAGGGCAAACCCCCTCCATCCTCCAGCTAAGAGCTGTCCCATCCCACAACACTGAGCATTTCGTGCCATGGCACATGGTCACCAACCTCCAGACCAGGCTGCCCAGAGCCACATCCAGCCTGGCCTTGAATGCCTCCAGGGATGGGGCATCCACAGCCTCCTTGGGCAACCTGTTCCAGTGCGTCACCACCCTGTGTGTGAAAAACTTCCTCCTCATATCTAACCTAAACCACCCCTGTCTCAGTTTAAGATCATTCCCCCTTGTGCATCTGTACACTGCTCTGCCTTCCCATTTCCCCATGTGCAACTCATCCCAGCAAAGCAGAGCCACACAGCATGCAGCAGGGCAAAGTTTTACCTTTCAGAAACCGGAACCGCTTGAGGAAGTCAGCACCGACAAAGGAGTCGCAGAGGTACAGCAGGAGCCCACTGAAGAACACCCCTTCACAGTTGACATTGACAGAGTGTGGGCGTGAGCTGACATAGCAAATGGCCACCTGCATGAAGGGGAAGCAGCCCTTGTGTTAGACATGGCCTAGTGAGGACCTTAAGTGGAAGGGAGCACAGAGTGGTGCTGACTGGTAGGTGAACTGGTGCTGGCAGCCAAACAGACCAACAACAGCAGTGATGAGCTGACTTCACTGGGAAATAACTCACCAGACAGACCAGACTAACTTCAGATTTGGTCACAAACCGTGAAATGCCTTATTTCAGGCCCCTGAATTAACCATAGAACCATTAAGGTTGGAAAAGACTTAAAGATCACCTAGTCCAACCGTCAGCCCATCCCCACCCTGCCCACTGACCACATCCCTCAGTGCCACAGGCACATGGCCCTTGAACACCTCCAGGGATGGTGACTGCACCACTTCCCTGTGGAGCCAGTGCCAATGGCTCACTACTGTTCCTGAGCATAAAGTTTTCACCTTCAGAGATGCAGAGCTAGACCAAGCTCTTTTCAATCACAAGAGCCTGTTCACAGAAGAAGAGTTTTCCAATACTAAAGATGCTGAAGTACAGGTTTGCATTTCCTGCTCCCCATTATCCCTGCAAATATTTTGTACCTCAAGACCAATGTTCAGATAGCAGTCAATGGCCAATACTGGGTTCTTGAAGTTATGAATGGCCTTAGGGAAGAGTTTGTACGTCGCATGCTGAAGGAATTTCTCCAGGAGGAACTGAGATGGGGCTGCCAACAGCGTGTGCTCACTGTCTGGGGCGCAGACGTACTGAAGAGGCATGATTGGTGCCGGGCTGTCTGAAACCTGCAACGAAGGCAAGAGGAGCCCCTTTAAACCCTCCTGAGTACATCTTCCCTACAGAGGTTCTTTCAGCAGGGGAGGGGATCACCACTGCAGAAGGAGGAGAGAAAGCTGGGTGAAGAATCAAAACCCCCACTTTGATACATTAATGCAATAATCATTAAGGTTAGAAAAAACCCTCTAAGATCATCTACTTCAACCATCAACCCATCCCCACCATGCCCACTAACGCCAGCCTCAAAGGTGAAGAGCTAGACCATGCTCTTTCCAATCCCAATCTATCTTCTAACTGTTCAGGAGTGTTGCTGTTAGTCATCTATCCTTAGCAATACTTATTTTTTTCTGTGTGGCTGCTCCACTACAGAATAGGCCATGAACTTCAAATTTCAAGTGAGCATTAAATAAAACTAACAGGCTAGAAAATTCATTCTTTTTCAGGTAAGTGGGTTTGGATTTCACCCTTTACATGGCTGAGCACAGACAACTCACCACAATTTTTGGCTTAACAACAAAGTCCTTCTGTCCTCCAACCTGAATATGTTTCTTCATGACACTGAAGTTGTTGAAACGACAGATGAGCAGGCCACTACTGTTTGTCCTCAGATTGAAATCTATATCTTCACAGAAATACCTGGGCATAAAACACAAGGTGATTGAGTCAGCTGCATTCATAGACTCATAGAATCGCTCGGGTTGGAAAAGACCTTAAAGATCATCAAGTCCAACCACAACCTAACCATACTACACTAACTCTAACAACCCACCACTAAATCATGTCTCTGAGCACAGCTGCTGTAAGGGAATAGGATTTTGCTTCGCTCTGATAAGAATTAGAAGTAAGGCCTGTGATAGCTGTGCCTGACTGCAAATGCTTTAGGGTGGAGTTGTTAGAAGGAGAGGGGAAAAAAAAGGAAATATATAGCAGAAAGTGAACTGTTCATCTGTTGTAGTTTCAAGTCACGTGGCAACAGAGAGGGAGAGGTGACTAAAGGAAACAGAATAAATCCCTCATCAATGCTCTTGAAATAGCAATGGCCCAGCCATTGCCCACACTTTGGTTCTTAGTCATGTAAGAGGCTCCCGCACACCAGAAGCCTCACACTTCCTGTCACTGACTCATTTTGGCCTCTGTTCCCCAGGTGTGACCTCCCAGTTCTTTTTTTCTCCTGAAGCTTCCCCCTCCCATCCCTGCATTTTCAGCCCTCTGTAGCTCTCTCTTGCCTCACAGCTTCTCTCCCCATTCTTCTGGCTGCTGGTAAGCATGCTTTAATGCCTTATTCATTCTGATGCAGCACACACCATTCTCTTTTTTTTCTGTGATTATGTACCTCAGACAGGATCCTTCCATTCACCTCAGAGACATTTAGAAACACAGTGATGAGCTTTTTGCCCTGTCAAAATACTTTACCACCAACACGCACCACCTACCTGTTCAGATCATATTGCACATTCTGGGTCAGGTCTATGTTGAGCAGAATAAAGTCACGCACGTGGCACCGGGAGAATGGAGCCTTTGTCTTCTTAGCATTCAGCTTACTGTTCCACTTCTGAACACCCAATATTGCATAATGAACAATTTTGGGGGTAGCTTCAATGTGCTGGAGAACATTCTTTAAAGACACATTCTTGCTGGTGCCCCCAGGCTCCAAGGACTGGCTGCAGAACGGGAAGGAAGTGCACACAACACACAGACGTGGCTTATTTTGTCTATATAACAGACACAGTTAATAGCATACCTGTAGATACAGGTACAAGAAATTCCATTATCGAGACATGCCATTCTACATGCTGTACATATAGAGGTAAATAAACAAACACAGGCTTTTTAAACAACAGCCAAACAATCCTATCCCATCTATTCAGCTATCATAAGAATAAAGGCCCCTCAGCACAATCGGGTCCTATGCAGCAACTTAGAAAGGGAAAGGAAGCACCCTATGCACCATTTCTGGAAGGAGACGTACCTGGACTGCTCGTGGACACTGTGCATGTTCCACAGCACACAGGAGTCATCCATGACCACAATGAAAGGCCACACGCACTGGCGCTTGACTCCCAGTTCCTCCAAGCGGTTTCGCTCCAGCTCCAGATTGTGGTAGGAAAGCTCCTTAATGAGAAATCTGGCAGCGCCTGAGGGAACATCGTAAAGAAGACACACAGAGATCTTAGATTTTATCACTCTCTCCTGTCAAAGAAAGGCTATGCAAAGATCTGCAAACCCTTTATGAACTTCAGAGTTCATCACATCTTAGTTTAAGAAGAAATCAATTTAGGTTGTGAGTGCAACCTAAAAGGCAGATACAAAGAAAAGTGGATCTTTTAAGAGATTACAGAAAACAATTTGGCGGGCGTTAGAAGAATAACAAAAAGCAAAAAGTGGCTGAGATCCTAAAATTGAAGCTACTTAAAACCTTACGTAGGTGATACTCAGGAACTCCATGAAAATGAAGCCTGAAGTTCAAATCCGTGACATTCACCTGCAGTTAATATTTAGCCTCAGCTTAACAACAAAAGAGAATTTGGGTAAAATACCTAGAATGAATGTTCACACATCAGGGCCGAGTAAAATGAATGAATGCAGTCTATAAAACACCATATTTTTAACTGAGAAACCATACACAAATATGCAAACCACATCTCCAACAGCGTTTCTTAGAAATCATCGTATCTTGCACACAGACTGCTGTTATTCACAGCACTGAATGTTTCTCAAACAACATGACCCATAGTGCCCAACGTGGATGCTGACATTTTCACAGCACGGCGGTGTTTCTTACCAACGCCAGCATTGTTGAACATGCCTGGCAGGACGAGCATGATGTGGTTGGGCCAGTACTTGCGGTACAGAGGCATTTCGTACTCCTTGACTACGAGGAGGTGAAGGTGACTGATGCCTTCCATGGCATGGTAGAGGTTCAAGAGGCCGTGCTCATGACGTCCACTCGATGGAGTGAAGATAGGACTCTTGACTGCATTCAAATTCTGCTAGAACAGGAGATATTTAGCCAACATTTTGTAAAAAGCAAGTTATTCCTGATAGGGATTTTTATTTATTATTTATACTAGATTTGAACATTATTGATCATTGCAACACATCTGGGATGGATAGTAGGAATGCAAATAGGAATGAATCTCTTCAAAAACTCCAGTTCTAATGAAGGTAAGGCAAGAACTATGCAAAGGACTAAAACAAAATAGCAAAAATGACAAAAAGACAAACCAGCCAACCATCAGTTTGCAAATGCTTGTCAAGCTGACTGCACTCAGCACACGTAGACCACAAACTGAAGGGAGCCATACACGCACCTTGTCAGAAACGAGAGGGAGACGCATGCTTTCTAAATGCTTCCCTTGCTTGCTAAAGACAAAATGGCTTTCTTTGGACTTCGGGATTATAAAATGCAGTTGGACCTCTTCTCCTAGCATTGAAGATGAAAACGTGAACGCATGCAGAGTGGAGTCAGACACCTGTATTAAAAATATTAAAAAGAAAATTAGAAAAAAAGCAGAAGGATTTGAAAGCAGGTAATGGACAAGGAACATATGACCAGGCTGGATGTGGCTCTGGGCAGCCTGGTCTGGTGGTTGGCGACCCTGCACATAGCAGGGGGATTGAAGCTGGATGATCATCGTGGTTCTTTTCAACCCAGGCCATTCTATGATTCTATATATGCCAACGTGCTCTGGCAGTTACAATGCTGGCAGCCACCAGAGAAGAACCACTACATTTTCTTTCAGTAACTGAAACTAACTTTATCTCACTTTCATTTACCACAATCTACATTATTTAGGCACGTAACTTCCCCTGCTATTGAAACAATCAACTTTCTACACCACTAGTGATCTTTGGCCCACCTGGACTTTTCTGAATTCTGTTTGAGCTGGAAATCATTTATTGGTATATACAAGGGGAAAAGAACATGCAAACAAATTTTCCCCGACGATTCACTGCATTATATAGGTATTTCTTCACAGCAGAACGCTCAGCCATTCGGAGGCAGCAGCAGCATGGTCGCACGAGTATGGCATTTTTCCAGCAACAATCCTTCAATCCTCTTCTATACAAGAAGTAACCAAGGCAGACCACTCCACAAACAAGGCCATGAAAAATATGGGTGAGCCTGAGTTTGCACAGTGCTTCACTGAAGCATGCTAACACATACAAAGTGTCGACATATCTAGTAAGACTTCTTCCTAGAGAGGAGGTGTTGTACCTCAAGGTCAAATCCTTTACTCTTGGCAGTCACTCCTCTATAATCTTTTCTAAAGAGCTGATGTAATTAGCCTAAGTAATGATGAAGCATGAAAAGCATTTTATTTAGATTCTGTTAAAGCATTTAAGAATCTCTCTCCTTTCATAATGCTTGCAATCCAATGACTCTCCTTTGGATATGTAATTTCTCTGAATTCTCTCTCATAACTCTATATACACAACTTGTAGTTACAAGAACAAGTAGATACTTCTATTTATTACTAGTCACTATGTTTGACCAGATGCACAAAGATGTGTAAAAAGAACAACAGATGTCCTTTGGGAGGATTTGTTTGGGTCAACATAGGTAATGAAGCATGAGGTTTAAAAGAGATTTGCTGGTGCAGTTCTGTAATAACTGACATTGTACATTTCCAGGTCAGTGTGTCTATGCTGTGTCTGGTTAATAGCAAGCTGCTGGCAAAGATTAGTAAGCAAGAAAAGAATGAATTGAGATAAGAAACTCAAAGTAAATTATTGGTGGTGGTTAATAAGTAATTCTGAGCTACTAAGCAGGAAAAATCTTACCTGCCAGCCTCCTGTGAGCAAAAATCTTCATTTTGGAGAACAAAAGATCAAAAGGATTATGAAACAATTAAAAATGATCCTTTTTGTCCAGTGACTCGTAAGCCACAGCTGAGAAGCAGGTATGGTTGCCAACAAAGGGAGAAAAAAATAGGCCCAGACTCACGCCAGAGGCTGGCCGGCATTTAAGTAAGACAAGCATCCCTCTCAGTCCTACAGTTTTCTCCCATGACACACTAGGAACCCTTAGGGTAGGCTGAATAATGCTCTGGCTTAACTAGTCACAATATTCACCCTTTATCAGAGTTAGCTGTGAAAGAGAACTGCTCATGTATAACACAGCAAACCCAGTTGATGCTCCAGGGTCTGTAGCTCAATGTCTCCCCCGAGAATGGAAGAAATTAAACAATTCCACCTCAGGGAAGGTGAAAGCATGAGTCTTCAGACCAGAGTGGTAAGCCTGCAGAGACCACAGAAAAATCAAGGATGCAGTTTACCCTTGGGCCTTGGCACCAACCTGTACAGCAGGATTAATGTCCATGTACTGATGGCACTGCTCACAGTGATGGAACGTATTGTAAGCTGCATATTTTGTCAACATCATCGACACAGTCTCTCTTTTCTTAGGCTCCTCTGATTTCATTTCTTTGCTTGTTTCTTTACACAAATGAAAGAAGAAAAAGAAATTTTATGAGCGTTCATGTCTAGAGATTGTGATCCTTGTGACAACTGTAAAGAACAAATGTTTTGTTTTGCTCTGTATTATTTAGAAGAACAAAGGCTTTTCTTAAGTTCAAGTGTCCAATTAAGATAATAAAAACCTTTTTTTTTTTTTTTTTTTTATGGGAAAGTATTCTGAGAAAATTCTTTTTTTACTTACCTTGTTTGATTCTTGACAGGTGTTCTGTGTACACTGGACTTATATTTCTGTACTTGGGGTCATGTACACTCAGGTCAAAAGACATTTTACTGAAGATCTCAATATCTGGCCAGTGGTCATTGCTTGACTGAGCAATTTCACTGCTTTCTGTATGATCTGCAACAACACATTTTAGGTAAGCAGCATCAGATACCCACTAAATAGTGCTTATGTGATGTTTGCTGATTTACAATTGCACAGGAACTCACACAAGTGTACACACACACAAACACACCACAGATATCTCTGAACATCATCAATGTTACCAAAATTGAAAATATGGTCACCAAGAAGTCACTTCAAAGAAACAGCAGTTCCTTGGAAAACGTGTAGGTGAAGCACCCTCACGGGTAACTTTCTGCTCTGCTCTTTGTCAAGTTGCTGAGGTATAATTCAATCTGGTTCATTCACAAACTGCTCAGATGACCTGTCTCTGCAGAAGTGCTACAGACAGAGCCTCCAGCCCCTCTGTGGTTCCCTTTTCAGTACATGGAAAGAAGAGCAATGGGTAAACAAGAAGCAAAAGCATCCAAAGGCAAGAGGATGAAAGCGAGGAGAAAGAGAGTGTATAAAATGTACAAACTAGCAGTTGAGTAGATGATAAAGGCAGTAAAAGACACACTTCTGTTAGAGAATGGGATGTGACAGCAAGGATTAACTAGAACTTTTTTGCTTCATCCAACAGAGGTATGCCCAAGGTAGACAATCAAGTGTGAGCAACAACATCAGAAAGCACTGTCCAAAGATGACAAACTGAAGCTTGGCGTGAAGCTTGTACAGGAATTGAATTGATCCAGTTTAAAATCAGAGAGAAGAATATATAAGAGTAGGCAAATGAGGTTATTGATTTCAGAAAGGCAAACTCAGATGAAACAAAAGCAGTGTCTCCAGCTCACCCTACCAGACTGACTGGTAGGAAGCTGCTGGTCAGAAGTTGTTAACCTCTGAAGCCCATGAATGTGTTCACACACACAAATCCTGAGAGAGCTGGCCCACTGGGCTGAGAACACCAGGCACTTCTCTACAAATGAGAGTTGGATTTCTTGGAGTCACTGTTACCAAACAATTAGTAACCAGCAAACCAAGCAATGCAAGATCACCAAGAGGAAGGGGCTACAGAGGCACAAAGGACACTAAGAATGTACAAAGTCCAAGAGAAATGGAAAAACCTCGTCAGCAAATAAAGCTTTGCCTCAAGCACCAGCAAGCGCAAGATAAAAAAAGCTTTGCCAAGTATCACACTAAGGCAGACCTCAGCAAAGCACATGAAAACAAACAGCAATTTTCTTGGCTCTACCACCTCAGCCAGGTAGGCAAATATATGTGCTTTGCTTTAAATTTTGATACACACCTAAATGAATGAGAAAGAATAAACTTCATGACACTTTTCTTAAAGAAAAGGTATCTGAAACCAGGTGTAAGCCTGACTGTAGTGCAAGCACAATGCATATATTGTCCATTTCAGAGGAGATCTATGAAACTCTGGGTCCGTTACTTTGACATTGCTATAAAGATGGAATAAATGAAAAATGCAATAACATGCAGTCACATTCCTTGGTTGACCAAAGAAATCCTGCATGACTTTCATTACACAGATGTGACATACCTATTTCTTTAAATAAAAAAATGAAACACATCTTATCTTTCTGGACTTAAATATTTGATACAATGCTATATAACAAATCACATCAGTTAAAGAAAATAGAGACAAGAAACGGTCTGTAAACTGAACAAGTTGATTAAACAGAAGCTGGCAGCATGTAACATTACAAGCATTAATGTTTCTGTAGAGTACCGATGAAGTTAACAGAGATCAGCAGAGAGGCACACTGTTTAATATTTTCACTAGCACCACTGCCTCAAAAAAAACCCAAAAAAGATTTGCGTCACTAGCAAACTTAAGAGCCACTGTCAATATAAAAAAGGCACAGAAGATCAACCAGAAAGAATTCAATGAGCTCAAAAATTACAGCAACAGAAACTGGGTGACATTCAGAGAAAAAAATTGTATGTGCAGTCGAGGTCTAGTAACAAGCATTTCTTCTGTAGGCTGGGAGTCTGTCAGCTGAAACCACTGAGCTGCAGAGGAACCCACGAGCACAAGCTAAGTAGAGCTGTCAGTGAAACAGGAAAATGGAAAAGTGCAATCATAGGTTTCGTCAATCATGGGGCTTTCAATGGAGGCAGGGAAATGTACAAGCTGTTGTACGTTGCATTGGTTAAACAACCTACACAACATCACATACATTTCTAGTCAGATGTGCTGGAAGGATACAGTGAAAATAGATGTACAGACAAGCTACTAAACTGATGAGAAAATAATGGGCTTGTCATTTGCGAGGATCCTGCAAGCTGGTTCAGGCTACCTACATGAAAGCTGAGAGGGAGTAAGATTTCTGCATGACTACATTACATAAGCAAACATCAAAGAAGAGTAAAAGCATTCTAAAGCAGTACTTTTTTCAGTCTTCCCTAAAATGTTTCTAAGTGGGGCAGGGGAACATCTTTTGACTGGGGGATTGAAAAAAAAATAAATCACAGAATTGTAGGGGCTGGGAGGGACCTCTAAGAGATCATGTAGTCCAACCCCCAAATATTTTCAACCACCAGAACATGAAGGATCTAGAAAAGCATTCCATTAGAAACTGTGGGAGGAAAAAACCCACAACCAAAAACCCCATGTAAAACCCAAACTGCTCTTCTGACACACTGTCACACATTCCTGAAAGGGGTGTGACACATTTGCTGTGATCACAACAGACCCGACTGCCTTCATCCTAGGCTTCTGGGTGTATTTTAGTTCAAATAATGAGAAAATAACAGTACTCAAAGTTCCAAATCAAAAGGAAATGCTTTTATTTTTAAGATTGGTTTCTAATTTTTAATTAAGTAATATTAATGTCTCAGGCAGAAAAGTAGTGTTCTTCAATCTGTCTTTTCTGCTTAGAAGCAGCCACAGCTTAAAAATCAGCTAGCAGAGATACTGCAAACAGCAAGCAGATGTTTCCTGTATAGAGTTTTAAATTCACTTTCACTTTAGTGCCAAATAAACATATCAGTCAAAAATGCACTTAAGAGTTCTCAGTTAAGTCCAATGTAAAATTTACATTTTTATGAATCTATTTTTAAGCACATGCAGATATCTACAAGTCTAGCTGCCCATTACTAGACAGGACAAGTGGCAGGTGTAATTTATGAAGTCTTTTTGTAAATCCAAAATATTTGTCACTGCTTATCAATATATAACAAAGTCACTGAATAATGTGTATTGATAGTGACTTCTAAATACTCACTGGTATTAATTTCTTCTTCATCATACACATCTACTTCCAGCAATCTGATCAGCATGCGGAAGAGAATCCTTAGGAACTGCAGGTATGAGCCGGTCTTTCCCACCTGAACCAGAGATGAAAAAAGTCTGAAACCCAACTCAGATTAATACTGAAGAAGGACACAGTTCAGATAAATGCATTTGACCTAATGCCTGTTACTCTGCCACTCTAGTTCTTCCCGATAACACAACTTAATATTGCCCATTATGCTGAATGGCATTACAGAGTTGATGTGTGAGGAATATCTGGCCTAGAGCCTGTATCACTTCTGTATGAAGAGAGAGGTGCAGTGGTTGACCACTTCCCTACTGATACATTCACGGCAATTTAATGTCTGGTGCCATTCACAAGTACATCACACAAGCTTAAATCATGAAACTTAAAGAACCATTCTTTTTACCACTTTCAGCATGAACTTAACCTTCAAATTCGCCTGATTTTTCATCTCTAAATACATAGTTGGGTACAACTTTGCACGAGCCTTTCAAGGACATCTCCACCTGCAGCTATAGCAGTCGTCACCATCGGTCCACTCATCCTGCTAGTAGGGCAGAAGGAAGGAACAGTGCTCTTACTTGTGGTGGCCCTGTCAAAAGCAGCCGCCTGGGGTGAAAACTTCTTGAGCTGGATGCTTCCCCCTGATTGCTGAAGTCTGCATGGTGCTGCCGGGCCGTTGTCCACTGCCTGTAGTAAAGCGACTGCTCCTCACTGCTCATGTCCTTGTGAAGCAGAGGCCTCAGAGAGCTCAGCCAGGACACATCAGCGTGAGGCAGCAGGGAAGAGGAGGAAGGCAAATTCCCACTCTTCTGTGAGCTCAAGAGGCAGTAAGCAGCTTTTGACAGAATGACGATGCGTGGCAGCGCAGCACGGAGGGCCCTGCTGTCTTTGGTTGAATGACCAGGCCACCGAAATGTCTGAGAGACTGATGACAGCGATGACAGTTTTGAAGTGGTGCTGCTTGCCATCTGGTTACCCAAGGAGTCACATTCCTGTTTCAGAGTCTCTCCAGCTGTGAACCCAGGGTAAGTTCCCTCATCTACTGAGCTGTGTGCAACCATTTGAAAGTTAAGTGATGGTGCTTGCTTCTGAGATTTGTCTGCAGCACTTGAGGAGCTCACACCGTTGTCAGCCAGGGAACCTGGTGAAACAAAGAGCGGGTAATAGACAAACATGGCTGACAAGAGGCAATGCAAATAAATCCTGAACTCATCTGGGGCAATCCTACCCTACAAATTCTTCTGCTCCACGAGTACAGCTGGGAGAGCTCACCATGGGCTGTAGATTGGTGCTTCACCATTAAAAAAAAAAATAATTATCTATCTTTCTCTTTTGTTGGAGGGGTAACTGCCATTCTTTTCAAGCTCAGAATCCAAATGCAATCCAACCCCAATTCCAAATGAACAATAATCCCAGTATGTTAACCATCATTTTCCATCAGGGACTTAGAACTTGCAGGGGAGATTCAGGCTGGATGCTGGGAAATACTGCTTCTCTGAAAGAGTGGTCAGGTGATGAAATGGGCTGCCCAGGGAGGTGGAATCACTGGCCCTAGAGGTGTTCAAGGAACATTTGGATTTTGTGTTGAGGGACATGGTTTAGTGAGAGCTATTGGTGATGTGTGGATGGTTGGACTGGATGATCTTATGGATCTTTTCCAACCTTGGTGATTCTATGATTATCTTCTGAAATTCAAGTATAAAACACCATTGTATACACAGATCAATTTCACTCTCCCTTCTATGGAGAACGGAGCTTTTATTTCATGGTGATCTTAATGCGAGTTGGGCTATGCTCTCTCCTCCCTATCAGCCACTTTCATGTTAGTGTACAGCAAGATCCGGCGCACAATTAAGCTGACTTAATACCTCAAATTCATACAGAAGCAAAGGGAAGGACCTAGAAGTGCCAGATGAACACAAGGAAGGAAAAGCTTTATGGGGGATGATTCTCTACCGATGCCTGAAGAGGAAGGGCAAGACCCAGCCATTCTGCTTGTGTTGGCCAGAAGGCAAACATCCACCTTCACTCACAGCTACCCCACAGTTACACAGCATTCTGCTACTCCTAACATATCGTATTTATTTCCATCCTCATTTTTAAGATCTTTTCAGGATTCAACAGATGAAACTATTGCAACTGTGAAATGTAAGTTTGAACAAAATCATAAGGACAATTAGGTATGGCATCCAATTCTCCCACTGCAACACTTTCCCCTTTTAGCTGCAGACAGGAAAATTGCTCCCCGTGGCAAGAATCTGCTACCAGCATTTCAATGGTTAGCCTGCAGTAGCATACTTCCAAGCAGTCCACGTTTGTCAAAACATCTCAATATTTGCACTCAAATTTCAAAGATGTATAAACGAAGACTTACTCTTCAGAGAAGCAGCAGTTAACTGACCTGAGGTTCCAGTGACAGCGCTGCTGTTACTCTGCGGTCTGTCCAAGTCTATCAACAGCTCATCAGCATCATTCTCGCTACCATTTGCCTTCTCATGCTCTTTCTCACTAAGGTCAAGAGCTACAATAGGCCCTCGAATCACCTCCTTTGAGACATAGCAACATGCCAGGCCCACTTCTTGCTCTAATGCAGTCCGAGTTAAGTAGCTTGAGTCAATCAGCCGAAGGTCACAGTACTTCAGTGACCTACAAAATCCAACCAAAGGAAAAACGAAAGTTTGTCTCCTGCAACTCTGGAGAATATTCTGTATTTTTAACTGCTTACTAAATATTCATGAACAACTTCAGTAGCCATGAAATATCACATCGTTTTAAAATATTCAGCACATAAGTCACGCTCCTCGGTACTTGGCGCAGATGATCACTGACACACAGTGCAGGAGCCTTACTTTTCACAAACCACGCTTCTCAAAATTTTAAACTGCTCCCAAAGAAAGCCTCCTAACATGCACTTCTCTGTGAAAAAAAATAACCACTTCGTATCAAACCGCTTATCTTTCCCCAAAGAAACATTTATCTAAGCATTTTACAAAACAACTGTATCACAAGAGCAGTAACAGCACCTGGGGAAAGTCTCGCCCAGAGGATCCTTGCCAGTTAAAATAACAATGCAAGGTAGACCTTCCAGATCCTGATAGGTACGAGGAATCCAGTCGTCCTGCTCATTTCCCCTCCAAGCCTGTGAATGGAGAATATTCAAGTCACATCTAAATGATACCTTTTAAACTATCACTTGTTTTTGTTTCCAGTTCCTGCTTTTTCTTTGTGTGAGGTTAGCAGACTTTTGTTTCAGCAGAGCTTGGTGAACATGGCTGAGCCCATTTGTGTTCTCTGTTCTGGCTGCAGACTCCTAAAACACTCCTCTGTCTTGAACACTAACTTTCTTGCACTGTTGCACTACAGCAACTGTTAACAGGAAGCAAAGCTGAATGACTCAGAGACTCTCACTTAAAAAGGCAAGTAGCCATTCTGCCTCTACAAACCTCAAAATTATGAAGATGAAATGAGAAAATGCAGGTTCATACCTAGCCATCCTTGTCAATACTTTGTGGGTACTGCATGATAAAACTGCCTCTTCAGTCAGTGACGAGTCCAGGCAAGAGATCAGCAGTGACTAGCAGTCTCTTTACATATAACACAGAGATTTCACACTTCCACATTGACTAGAGACATTAAGGGCTCTCCAGACCAAGAAAATAAGCCATACTGGTTCCAGAATCACCACGTTTGAACTACATCATAAATTAGTCCACTGGAAGATGTTTTTCTGTCCATCTTTTAATAACGTACAAAATGAGTTGAGAAGAAAACTAAAACCTAGCTGAGGCACAGAATCTACTTTGTTGAGTCACACAGATGACAAACCCAGCCACTCATCCTGCCCATTAAAAATAAACATAAAAAATTACTCTTTTCAGCACAGATGAGCAAGACAACAAGACACAGCTGCCTTGATAAAGCAACTAGACTTATGCAAACTGCATGAAAAACATGACCTGAAGAGAGAATCCTGTCCTGAATTCCCTCTCCGTTCTTCTGTTCTCAACCTAAATGCTTAACCTGATCTTTCCTCACCTTTCCTCCACCACAGAAAGGCCACGTTTTATGAATCATCTCAGACAGACAAAGGGGATTGAAAAGGAGGAATCAACAGCAGATCAGTGACTCAGCATGCCATTTTATCTTTAGAAAATTTCCACTGAAATAACCCATGATTATTTCTTTCTTAGCTTAGGAAGAATGTGATTTGAAGTAGCATTTCCCTTCAATGTTATGGCTTTAATTCTCTTCTCTCAGCCCTGATTTCCTTCCCCTGCTGAATTCTGCATCCTCTATATAACATGTTCACAGAAAAAAAAAATTTCTCCAGCTACCTAACAAACACTATGGTTCAGTTAGAAGCCTCAAAAGCTGAGATTTTTAGGCTCAGCAGGGTTAGTCTGGCTGTGTGTCAGCCTGCCTCTCCAACACTGGAAGCTTCTCAGAAAAAGCAAGGCTAGAAAATGAAACAGGGTAAAACAGGTTCAAAGATGATTTTATTTCTTCTAGCCTAAAGGTTTAAAAAGAAGCTTGAGTGCCTGGAGCTTTCAGCTGTGGCATACAAACGTATTTCTTGTCCACAGTACTTAGGAGAGGTAGACAGCTGCAGCCCTTTGGTCTTTTCACTTCTGAATGGCTTCAAAACTGATTCTTGTTATGCTTAAAAGGTGATGTCTATAGCCATGACAACAGGCCTGCTCAACAGAACAGTTATTTAAATTATTTCCTATCTCTCCTTCTGCACCTCCAGGTGATCCTTCCCTCTTGGAGCTCAGCCCTCAGCCTCCCAGGCTACCATGGGGCTTGTCTGATGGAGAATATTGCTCAGCTACCAGCATCAGAGACCACAGCCCTGCTGGGGAGCCATGCACATTGGTTACTTGCTCTTAGGAAGAGGCTAAATCAAATCAAACATTCCCTCTCCGCTCTTCCAAAAGATTGGAATGAAATCTCATTCTCCCTGCAACTCACAACAGCTATCAGTGGGACCAGCATTTCATGTCTTAGACTCACCAGCAGCCTAGTCTCTTCTCGTCTGTACTCACAAGGAAAGCAGACAGCGATCCATTCCCCACCCTTGTTCTCCAGCTTTAGTATTCCACTTAACATAACGAGAAAAGCAAGTGCCAGACTAGCAGGTATGGCAGCCAAGCAAAAGCCTCGCAGTTGATCTTCATCCTTCTGGAGCCCTCAACTGAGATAACTCACTTTAAAAGACTTACATTTGGGCAACTAAGTTCTTCTCCTCACTTACATGCATCTTTCTGAATTGAGTAGGTTTTCTTCTAGTTGTTTACAAGGAAAGAAACAAGTTCAAAAGCATCTCATGTTGTGGGTAAGAGGGACAAGAAGAATTATTTAGGAGGGTTTTTTTCTGTTGATTTTTTTTCCCCTATCCGATCATGTCCTCTGTTCAGATCAAGGGCTGTACGGATATTTGCTTGCATCAGACTCTCACACTTACCCTGATCTCTTCTAAAAAAACCTAACAGGCAGTTCTAGAAGTGTGCATGGGGCTGCAACCATAAGACAAAGGGCTGTAAAGAAACCCTCACCATACTCACAGCCCAGAATTATTTGAAGTCTAGCCAAATTAAAAAACAAAACAAAACACCCTACACAAATCCCACCAGCAGAGCACGGAGCTGTTACCTCACAACTTATTTTCTCTTTCATTATTTTTCTTCCCTCCTCTGCTACAGGTGAGATTTAGGAAGCAGAAGGGGTGGCTTCTCAAAGGACATTTTACCTGGTTTTGGTTGTAGAGAAACTCTTCAGAAGCTCTGCAAAAAGGCTCATACATTTTCTTCATTTTCTGTATGTTTCTGAACACACTGAACGAATCTTTGTGTGAGACTTAGAGCAGGAATCAGGACTGGTAACCTGAACTACTCTCAGGCTGGTATCTAAGAAAGGCAACCAAATTTGGTTTAATGTGGTGAGGTTAATACAGGAAGTGGATGTGAGTGTTTATACCAGGCTTTTACACGTCCATGCACAAGTTTAGCTTGGTGCATATATGCTATGCAGAAGAGGCTTTCAGCATGTAGTAATTCGAGACAAGAAATCTACAAGAGATATACTGGTTACCAGAAGAGCAGAAGGTGGAAAGACTGAGCATGCAGTTGCATACACTAGACAGATAAGCTGGGGGTACTAATTAGCCTGTCTAGAGAGATCTGAACTCTGCTTTTAGAGATTCAAAGAGGAAACCTATCTGACTCATGCTGATATTCAATTTTAAAAAGGGAGATAACATCTGGTGACTGACTTCAGGAATTCAGAAGTCAGGGTTCAGAAACAACCTAATCTTTTTTCTGAGTTTCTAAATCATTACACTCACCAGAAGTACAGTATACTTCCTTAGAGGAAGATACAGAACATTCATCCTTCTCCTACAAAATAATTAACTTGGGAAAACAAAAAAAAACATATCCAACAGTCAGACGACTACAATGGTCATACAAAGAAACAGTTTCTGCTCACCTTCAGACGTGTCACAAAGTGTTTTGCAACAGTAAGCTCTGAGGCAGGATTCCCAAGGAGGATCTCAAACCGATACTGCAGACCTAACTTGTCTCTTACTTCTTGCAACCTCTCCTTGGCCAGCATGGCTAGCTGCACAGATGGCACCCTAATGACGAGCATGTGGCCACAGCCGTTCTTATCCTTTCCTGGAGAAGTGATAAGGTCATCCATTATGCTGAGAGTTTCAGGTGTGCTGTGATCTCTTAGCGAGGCCATGGTCGTGAGAGACATCAGAGCTTGGGAATACTGCTGAATGAGAAGGTAGCAGCGAACCACCATGCTGTGTAGCCGTGGATACCTTTGGGGAGATAACAGCGCTGTGTCAGCACATGCAAAATCAAAACAGAGTCTGAAAATTAAAAACAAAACCGAACACCAAGGATGTGGGGTAAAGAAGTGCCCATCTATCTTTAGTGCTTAAAGAATTAAGTCTTCAATTTTCACAGACAATGACTTTGTACCAAATCTAACTATGTTTTAAAGCAAACATTTCTCGAATGCAGAGAATAAAGTGCAAAGTCCTGCTCTCAACTAAAAGGAATGATAAGTTTCTATTATCTTCCTTAGGGAAATAATTTCAGCTAAAGTTCTTCAGTTTAATGGAGATAATGATCATGTCAGATCTGGTTCACTCCAAGACTACAGGATAACTGCTTTGCTGTTCAGAAGGTTTTTTTCTTCTATGAACTCAGAGGATCACTGCTGCTTTAAGTGGTTTCTGTAAGAATTTCTTCATGATTCCCCATTTCCCACTCTCTCAGCAGAAAGCCAGACTTACCAGTGGGGACTGCTGGCTCTGAGCCAAAACTGAACTCGCACTTTACCTTTTAACTATGTAGTCAACATTTCTTTCTCTCTCGTTACAGCTACATCCAGTGATAACAGATAAGAACTCAAAACGTGAAATGCTAAGACAAAAAGAAATTAAACCTACTCAAGCTAAAAAGCACTCCATTTCTGCAAATTCCCCACAAGTTCACTCATTGCCATAACATATAAAAAATCCAGCACTAATACACTTTTAGTAGTAGCCTTGTGCTACAGAAGTCCAAACAACTAAAAGCTCCAAATTACTCTGTTCCTCTTCTTGAGTAATTTAATAGAAAGTGTGAAACCCACTTGAATAAAGTTTTGAGCCTGTCTGTTACAGTATCTCTACATACCATTATCAGTAAATTTTTAAACACCTCCTGTTCAAGTACCCACTGCAATCAGAACACTAAAATAAATGGAGTCTTTCTGATAATAACAAGACGTCTGACATGTTTTCAGATTTGTAAGGTTGCATGGCTTACCTACATAAAAGGTACAGTCCAATCTCTTGGAAACAAAAGCTTAATCAGTGAAGTGTGATGAAAAACACATCCTGGCTCCAAGAAACAGGTTCACTTTCTCCCTATTTATAGGCTGATCTTATCCTCAACATCAAGATAATATTTGCATATGCTCTAATCTTCCTTCTCTGTTTTCCCCATCCACATCTTGAGAACAGAAAGACAGCAGCAATGGCCACCATCTCTTCCACTGGACTTGGTCAGAAAAACTATGAAAAGCTAAGAGAACCGATGCAATGAGATTACCTGACCTTACTATTATTCATCACATTTATTACTTTATTATTTGTAGATAATAAACATGAATGTGCTTAATGATTCACACTGCTATCTTAGCATATTTGATATTGTATTTTACTTTAAAAATATAGATACATTTTCAATTATTAATTTTAACAGAATCAAGAAGAAATTCTGTAGGTACATCAGTGAAAGAAGCAAGGGTAGGGAAGATGTGGGCCCTCTTTGGAAGAAAACTGGTCATGAGGGGTAGAGAGAAAACTGACTTCTTTGCCTTAGTCTTCAGTGGCAAGGGCTCTAGCCATATCACCCATGTTGCAGAAATCCCAAGCACAAATACAGGCTGGACGGAGAACAGCTTCAGAACCACCCTGAGGAGAAAGACTTGAGGGTGTCAGTTGATGAGCTGGCAAGTATGTGTTTGCAGCCCAGAAGGTCAACCATATCCTGGGCTGCATCAAGAGAAATAGAGAAACGTGACCACCAGGTCAACGGAGGTGATTCTGCCCCTCTACTCTGTTCTCACAGATCCCACCTGGGGTACTGCATCCAGTTCTGGGGCCCCCGAAACAAGAAGGACACCGAGCTGTTGGAGTGGAATCAGAGGAGAGCCACAAAGATGATCAGAGGGCTGAAGCACCTCCCCAGTGGGGACAAGCTGGGACTCTTCAGCCTGGAGAAGAGCAGACCTTACAACAGCGTTCTGGTACCTGAAGGAGGTCTTACAGGAAAGCTAGAGAGGGACTTTTTACAAGGGCATGTTGTCACAGGACAAAGGGAAATGGCTGTAAACTGGAAGAGGGCAGATCAGACTAGATATTAGGAAGAAATTCTTTACTGTGAGGGTGGTGAGACTCTGGAACAGGTTGCTCAGAGAGGTTGTGGATTCACCCCTCCAAGAGGTGCTCATGGCCAGGATGGATGAGCAACCTCATCTGGAAGGAGGTGTATCTGCCTATAGCAGGGGGGCTGGATCTAGGATGATCTCAAAGGTCCCTTCCAACCTAAACCACTCTGTGTTTCTGTACTGATCTATATAAAATGGAAAGAAAAAAAAAAAAGAAAAAAAAAAGAAAAAAAAAAGAGTACTGAAGGCAGAACAATCCTGTTCTATTAAAAACAAAAATACAGGAACTACAGCTTGAACAGTTACAACAGATCTGTCCTGCTGATATGCAGAACAGATTTGCTCCACAAAATCATAATATTGCTTTTGTTTCTGTAATGTGCACATTTAAATATATATTAGAGATGCACTATGAAACTAACTTGTTCAGGCAGCTGCAGGTTACTAACAAGACACTTTCAAGCTCTGAGATACAGGAATGAAAACCACAGCCCGCTAATGAAATAAATACAGTGGAAGGTTTAGAAATGGTATCACTTATCTGGGACTCTGCTAGCCAATCTGTTGGCAGTCTCAGCAGACAGCCACCAGAAGTGAAGGGGTATGAAACTTCACCTAGCTTAATGAGGGCTGAGCTAAAAGGCGAGAGCACCTGTGAGCATGGATTGTCACTGAATGGGCCTAATAACTCCATAAGGGAATGAAAAACATCCCCTCCTTCATGTTGAAAAATACAATAATTTTTGTTACAAAAATAAAAACTGCACGTGCAACAGATCTCAAGATCAATATCAAATGTCATCATGTCTTCGTCCTCCCATGATGGGGCTGATAAGCATCTGTACACTTAAGATCCCACTTCAGCAGCATCCCACGTTACTATTTACCTTTCTAAAAGCGTGGTGACCATTTTCTCAAAGGTTTCATCACATCTCAAAAGTGGACTTGTGACTCCCCATTGGAGAGATTTGCTGTATTCATTCAAGCCAAAGTACAGCTTGTCTTCACTTGCTGTGTCATCCTGTTTCATACAGAAAAAGCAAGAACATACAAAAAGCTGGATATACTTTCAATTGTAAAGCAAAGTGTATTAATTCACTCCTTCATTCCACTATTCTATCTGCTGCTAACAAAAGCTAGACTACTTGAAAATGGAAAGTCAGCTCCAGAGGTTTCCAGCACACCTGCAGAACTCTGTCTGACCACAACATAAAAAGCCAGTACTCATCTTACATGACGTGGATAAAGGAAAGCATGATTCCTGGGCCTAAAGGTCAATCATACCTCTACTGTCACAATCCCAGGATTGTGTAGCTAGAACCTGAGCAAACAAACACCAGCAGAGAAAGAGCTCTCTTCTAAAGTTCTTCTTTAATATGAATCTGCAAATTCAGTAAAATTAACAATTCTGTTAAAATTCACAGTTAGAATTATATATTACACACTTACCACAGCATCAAATTGTATCCAATGTACCTCATTGCTAGAGCTGATCCTGGACTGCTGCGTTTGCAAGGCGTAAGGAAAAGAGCTGACCTGAAGAACAAGGAGGTTGAATGCTTCAAGGACCTCTCTGCAATTAATAACTCTATCAGCCAGACCATGACTAGGCTCACCATGTGACAGGGAACTTGAAATGGCACTGCAGAAATAAGAATGCAAAGAATTGCCTTACTGACATCCTGAGATTCAATGGATTACTCTGTTCTCCAGAAAAATCTCCAACAGCACTGAGAATCACAGCTCGAAAAACTCTTGGAAAAGGTGAAGGATGTCAAAAATGTTTGAGTGCTCTCTATAGGTAGAGACAGGCAAGAGGAAAAAAAAACCAACACCTAAATAAAGGACTAAATCTGTCGTAAGTAAGACACTGAATTAGTGGGCTAATTTAATCCATCCTAAAACAGAGGCAACTAAAAATGAGCCAAAGTTGATGAAGTCTCTCTTACAGATGAACACTGTTGCATGAATTATGGTGCTAGGATAGAGTAACACGTTTACAAAATTCACTTGATTTTCCAGGCAAATACAACATGTTTTTTAAGAGATTAGAGAACTTGATAGTCTCCTGTTGTCATGATTTCCAGCTCCTGGAATCAAGTTGGCCTCCAGGTTAAATGGGAATTCCAAAATCAGCGTACACCAAACACAGTAATAAAAATTTGATGAGGAGCATAAGGCAGGAAGAGCATTGCTTTTAGGTATTTTTCTCTCTCCATTAAGGAAAGTATTTTCATTATTGACTCTGCTGTCAAGTGAGTCCCACAACCTTACGCACTACATCTAAATCACATTAACATTTTTCTCCTCAGTTTACTCAAAGAATGAGATCAGAACAATTAGCTTATTTTCTTTTTCCATTGCAAAATTATGATGCAATGTGAAGAAATTTTTCTTAGCATGTGTATGTTGTTCTTTGCAGATCTAACACTGGCCAATTTCAACAGAACTACGGTTTTTTTTAAGTCCTTTTTTCACAGGACCTAGGATATTTTTTTCACAAGATGTTGCTGAAAAGTTAATTATCTGTAACCCTTTTCATTTCAAAAACAACGCTATCACTAAAGATAAAAACATGAATTAAAACATGACTAGTTTGTCAACATGGGGAAGTTTTTAGGTTATGCACAGAAATAAAAACCACAGAAACAGGGAATAGGAAAAAGACAAAGAAGTAAACAAAGTTGTAAAATTCCACTCTCCTTGCCAAATTTCAGTACTGTACAACTTATCCCTATTAACAGTTTTATTAAAGACCTAAAAATCCAAAGCTAGACTCATCCTACTTCAATGGGATCAGTTAACAAACATAAGATCCAAACAACAGGTCGGTATTTGATTCCATGGAACAAAGTGCCTTAAAACTAGGGAAACCTCTGGGTGTCAAAGATGAGTCTCTTTTGAAATATGTAACAGAAAGATATCAGAAGAGGATTGTTTTCCTTCAGTACATTGAATCAGCTACCTCGTTAGATCCACATGGGCGTTGTCATGAACCAGCACAAACAGTGTGTATGGATTCTGCTTCACTCGTTTCATGAAAACTTCAAATTTTGTTTGAATCTCATTGTCTAGCCGAACCACATATTTCTCAGCTCTCTGATATGCTGTTCCGTTGTCTTCTAGGCCCAGGTCCACCAGGACACCTGCCAGAAAGGAGAATGCAACAAAAACCTTTTCCTTTGAGTACATCCAAAAATCCAGTGTCACCTGCAATGTTATCTGCCAATATCAGAACTTTTCACTGAGAGGTATTGGTAAGAAGATGGTGATCAGAATGCACTTTCTCTCACAATGGAGACTGCCATTTGCTTTTCAACTTTTGGGTTTCCTTCAAACAATGCCTGAAGACCCTTCAGGACTTCTCACATTAACAGCAACAAAAAAATATATCCACCAAAAAAAATTCCAGAGCAGCACTCAGTTGGCTACATGATATTAGCTCAAATTTCCCCATGTTAGGTCATGCTAATCCTGCCACAATCAGAAACTGTTGCTCAGGTAGCTTTCAAGAATATGATTGTTTTCATGATCTTTTTGGGCTCTACCTTAAGGCTAAGGTTCAAATGTCAGTAAAATACAGCTACATAGTAGTCTTTGCAATGATCAACTGTCATATTCATAAAAAAGGCAAGTTGTAACGTAGCTTTGAACTCCTTTTGAATTAAAGTAGTAGCAACAAACAGTGGTGATACAGCTCAACTATACATTTACCATCCATGGCCCTAATCACTTCAAAAACTGTGTAAAATAAAGTAGAAACCACTCACTCAAAAAAAATAAAATAAACTAAATGTAAAACACTTAACAGATATCAGACAAGCTCTGGTTTATGTGGAGCATTATTATGACACACATATGATTAAGTGAATAAAATGTCTGAAGAAGCAAGAAAGGGAACAACAAGCCATCATTTTAGAAAAGGAAAAGTAACGCCTACTTCAAGTAATCTATTTCATTCTTTTCATTTTAGCAGTAAAATAGTATTGGGCTGAGAAAAAATACATGCAGAGAGGGACTATAAAATTGACTACAACAAAGAGAAACTCCTACACTTTCCTGGGCACACATCAGTCAATAACAGAATGAATCAAAAGGGTCATTCTATCATCTGCCTCCTAAAGACTTCTTGCTCTTTAAGCATTTGGTATCAGCTATGTGCAGATAAAGAGCCTGACATAAAAGCTCACCATTTGAGCAAGTGATTATTGTTCACTAATGTGAGTGCACTGCCCACTCACTTATTTAAGAGTTTCCTGCACCTATCGCTGTGCTCAGTACACAAGAATATATGAACAAATGTGTACCTAGAATGAACTGCACTACCAATTATAGGTGATAAAAGATCTGAACAACTGCAGCCATCCATCTCATTTTCTCTTGACAACTGAATATTACTTTAAGTCAAACATTCCTCAGTTCTGAAAGAATTTCTTTTTTTGCTTACGCGATACAGTTTGAGTCTAGTCTGAGAAAGGAATATACTTTGAATTCATCAGTAATACCAACTAAAAAAGCTAATATAGGGTGTACAAAATACATGCTAGTGTAGCTTATTTTTGCATTTATATCAGATATCACCTAATAGCAATCACATATTTGCTCTGAATTAACAGTTTCTTTTCTCTCCCCTCCCCTTTACCTGACTGCCGGATCCGCTGCAGGGTCTGCTGCACCAGGACTTCCGAACGAGGAACTATAACAATGAAGTCTACTTTGCTGAAGTGGCCCAGATCCAGGCTCTGATTGCCACTGTCTGCTATAGCACAAACCTGGGACAAGAGCTTTCTGGCAACTGTAAGCTGTGGCTGGTAAATTTGGAAGGTATCAACATCCAAATCTAGTTTGTTTGGAAAAAGAAAAAAAAGAACACAAGAAACATGTTTACTTTCCCACCCCCCCAGTAAACATGACCAACCGAATAGTGTCCTCTCTATCATCAAGAAAAAAGAATACCTCACCAGAATAAATTCTAACACAGATCACAAACATCACCTTTCCCTTTTTTGATCAAAACTTGATTATCTGTCAAATGACCTCGAGTACAGAAATCCTATTCTTAAAATGCCTTTTGAGGGTTTTTAAGGGTACAACTCAAGGAAACCTCAGTGCCAACAAAGTAATACGCAGTCTGGTAAATGAACCAACAGATACATAGTATGCATATATTAGAGATATCTATATATCCCTAATCTTTTTCCTGAAGCTTGCAGTTCTCTTTCAGAAGCCTCCTTGCTCCCTTCTGCCAAGAGAACCATCCATGGGTGCTGAGGTTGCTGTACTCAGGGCACTACAGCAAGAGAACCACCACCACACATCTTAATCTGAGGAAACTGAGCTCATGTTGGTAATTCTGCCAAAAACATTCTAGCAGGGCAGCCGGGGAGTTCATTCATATATCAGCTCTACTCTGAGTAGATTAAGGAGTAGATTACTGAAGTGGGGAGCTTTTTTTTTTTAAAAAAAAAAAAAAAAAAATAATTGTTTAGAGGTTTTTCCATTTTTAACAAGATTTTAGTCTTAAATTAATTTGAACTTCATAAAGATCAATATAGTACTAGCTGCAGAGTACCAGCTGGGGGGACTGGACTTTTCTATAGGAAATATGAAAGTTCAGATATATGCCTAAAAGAAAAAGCATGTTCCTATACTTTGGTATTTTCTATGCCTAACAATCCAAGTTTCAATAGCCTTGAACTTTTGCATCTTGCAGATTACTAATAGCAAACAGTATTTACCACAGCAACAATACAGTTTTTATTTACATCACCCTTCCTAGTACAAATTAAACCCAAATTCATAGATTGTGTATCATAACAATTTCCTAGAAGAACAATCTTTAACATACAAATAAACCCAGATCTACTTCAAAGCTAATACAAAAGAACTGTACTTCCTTTTTCAAGTAATAAGCCACTTTATTCGGTGTTTTCATATGCAAGAAAATTTGAATGTATTTGGGGTCAAAGCTGGTATGTCAATTCTACAAAAACATGCATGTGTTGATGTATGTGTGTTTATCTCCTGTTCAGACCTGCCTCAGTGCTTATTTCCACAGATCTACTTTGGGTGAAAGGTCCCACTCACTGCCTAGGAAACTTACCTCTCTTTTTTTACTCAGGCTGATCCCCAATAGCTTCAGTCATTGTAGAGCCATATTTTAAAGACAAAACTAACTCAGAGTAATTGTTTGAGAAAACATGGAGGTTTTAAAAAGCATCGCTGTATATCATTACATGCTAAGACAACAGAAAAATAAAATAATCAAAAGGTGGTTCTCACTTCAAATTAGTTCTGTGAGGAAGCTTAGGGCTTATCCTTCTGGAGGTGCCAGAACAAGGTACCTGGCTGCTACTCTAACTGGATCTTCTGATCCATGTGGAGACTATAAATCTGAACTAAAATAAGATGGTTTAACAGTGAGACTATTATTTCTAGCTAACTAATGCGAACCATGAGAATACCTTTGTTTCAGGGAAAGCAAAGCTTTATATGAGGTTGAATTTGCTTTGATACTAGACTTAGAACAATCTTGGTGTTCACAGCAGCTCAATGTATCTTCTTTTACCATTACTGTCATACAAAAAGGAAAGTGTGATTAAAACTCGTTAAAACTTTGAGTAATTAAAGAATTCCAAAATGGAAAAATGATAATTAACATTTTTAGACAGACAACTCTGCTTCATCCTTTGCATTTAAGTATCTCACCACGTATGCTGAGTAAGCACACATCTCAGGTAAGAAAACAGGTTGTGCTTGCCTAGCACATTCAATCCAAGATCTTTAAAACTTTCCTGAAAATATGGGAAAATGAAAGTCCCAAGGCACAACTGTGTAGCACATATTAGTATTTCCACTGTAAACGTGGAAAGTGAGGAATATAAAAAAAATTACAGGAAGACACCTAGAGAGATTAGGAAGAGAACACAGCTCCCCTCTGCCTTAAGCCGATGACTACACATCTTTCCCAGGTTTACAAGAGTCAGACAAGTCCACACTGACACCTCCTGTACTCTGCTTACTGCAGAGCAGTAGATCATATATTTTGACTTTGGAATTATCAAACACAGGGTGGTAAGCACTACTGAAGGTTATGACTAAGATTTTCTGTCCAAGAGACTGCTTTATTTCTACATCCAGCTGGCATTAGTATTTGAAGGTTGGCACAGTGACTGCAGCCTTCAGACTCTTCTAAGGTATATGCATTTTGACATTTTGAAACCTGATCACTTATTTCACATCTTGCATGTAAAAACATTACCTGGTTCCTGTGTAGATACCATGGCAACTGCCTCCTGAGATGACACACACTCACTCACATCTCCATTAAAAGGAATAATGACACTTTCCCCTCTCTGCTGTAGCATCTTCTCTAGCAGCTTATCCAAATCATCACCTAGTTAAGAATTAACAACACCAAATTATCTGGAAACACTTTAAGACAAATGACGTAGAAAATGACATACATATGTTCTCACACAGCTGATGTAAAATCTGTGAAGGGAAGCTGAAAATAAAGAGAAGAGAAGAAAGGAGATTTTCCAAGAAAAAAAAAGTCACAGCTGAATAATCTCAGTTCTGTGCCTTTATAGCTAATCATGACATCTGATGATTACGAAGAAACACAAACTATAAAACAGCCTCAAGCCAATGCTAAAAATACAAACAAGAGCACTCATACCTACCACATTTAGCAGTATCAACAGTGTTAAAAACATTTTGTCAAAGGATGAGTAATTGTCACTACACAGATGAAGGATAAGATGAGCACTTCTTTACACTCATTCAGTGAAGAGAAAAAAGTAATGCCTCTCAATGGAGAAGGGAGAGCTATCTTCGTGCATGCATGCATTAGCTGCTGAACATCAACCCTAAAGAAATTACACGATCATTGCCTTCATTGGAACTTCTATTTCTTATGATCACTCACCTAGAGAAGTATTTTTGAAGTGTGATGCCAGGAAACTAACTTTCCCCGTGATGAGTTCATAACTGATCTCTTTCAAAAACTCACTGCTGGTAAGCATGCTTTCTGCAAGTGCTCTAGACTGATACTGACCTGGAAAAAAAGTAAGATTCATCTATAACACAGTGCACCATCAACACAATATTTTTGTTCTAGAGTTAAGAGGCACGTTGACCTTCAGTGATGGATCTCCACTGACTGAGACCAGTCTCAAAAGAACTGTGACAGTGACAGAACTATTGGATATACGTATAGTATATCCTTTTGCCAGCTGTTGCACATAAGTTTGCACCTTGGGTAATAAATAATATGCAAAATAAATGTTTGTACCTTGGATGGAATGGAAGATTTTGGCTAAAAATGAAAAAATAATTATCCTCAGTGTGGGAAATTAAAAAAAAAAAAAAGACGTTATTAATTTATCAGCTTACTAAGGAGAGAAGACAAGTCAAAATTCACTCCAAGCCAGATACACACATGCACACACAGATGTCAGAGCCAATCACAAATGAGGAATCTAAAAATCAACATGGTAAAAAGGGTAAAATAAGGGTAAAATAATATCATGTTCTACAGTGACCTGCAGAAAACTGTGGTCAATCCAATACTACCATGTAAGATGGCACAGCTGTTACATGAAAGAGAGAAAGAAAGACTAATTTGCCACTGGGTCACTCCAAGATATTTTGTAAGGTTGCCTTAAAAATAATAAAGTTTCAGGCCTCTCAAGGAGTGGTAACCACTATCGTACAGTAGTTTTTCTAGGTTCCTATGGACACCAGTGCACCAAGTCTTGACGGAGGAACAGTGGACTGTCACACTGCAGTATAACTACACAAAGGAGAATAAAAAGAACAAAATGTATTTGAAAGCTGGAACAATGTCTTGAGAAAATGCATTCAGTGTACTGCAACTGCACTCACCCAGGACTACCACGCAGAATTCATTTCCTCTCATCTTTGATGCACAAATGGCAACTACATAATCTGGTAGCTTTTGCTGATGTTTCATTTCATTGAGAGTCCTCAATGTCTCTGAGATGCCCTCTGCCAGAGAGTTCTGGGTAACCACCACGTGCACGAGGTCCCGAGACACGCTGGCAATTAACCTAGCGAGCCAGGGGAGTTGAGCTGGTGACACAGAGATGCACTGTGCACTCATCTGCAAGGATCGCTCCCTCAGAGTGAACTCCTGCATAGCTTTCAGCATGATCTGCTCAAATTCTTCCCTCAGGGGTATCTGGTCAGGACCTACATCAAAAACAAACAGAAAAACAGTACCTTGTGTCAAAATGTTAACGAACCAGAAATAAACTCTTGTCTGTCTCAACATGAGAAGTTCCTTCACAGTATTTTTAAATGTAAACACCCACTCTCTACTCAGTGGATATCAACCTGCATGACATATTCTTGCTTTCTCATATTAGAATCCCCCCTCTCCCTCTGTACTTTCTCTCCCACGGTCCCTTTATTTTATTCTGTCAACAAGGTATTCCATTTTATTCCTAGCTTTTCTACCCTCAGAAAATGGTGGCCCAAACAAGGGGGAGGGGAAGTAAGTGCCTGAAAACAGAAAGATTAATCACATTCCCTCTATGTGTCTTTACAGCAGAAAATGCAAATCCTTGCAGTCTAGTCACAGCCATACAGTATGACAAAACCTGTCACTGGTCTTCATGTCGATTTTCCTCATTTTTCATACCAGTAAACTAAACTTGGATGCAAATGAATATGCTTAACCTCTTCTTTTATAATTTAATATAGCAAATTTTCAAGCTCGTAAATTTAAGCAGCATATGTACATACAACTTTACATCTACATTCCTCAGAGCTTGTAAATTATATTGCAAACTTCAATGGGAAAACAGAAGTCATCCTATCTCAGTATCAGTCACTCAGCTTTAAACAACATTTTGCTCACTAAGATTATCTTACAGCCAGAGATACCCAGGAAGAGATTACAAATATTCATGAATGCAGAGCAAAAAGTAACCATACTTTAAATTGCCTAGGTTCCATGTCTGTGCAAAAGAGACAGAGCTTTACACCTTAGCAGTTTGCTTTTGTGTGACAAAAAGGGGGGCATAAATACCAGCAACACGTGAAATGCTATTTTTTTTGTTTGTATGTTTTCTCTCAGGGCCAAATACAAGAAACAAATTGGGTAGTGAAAAAAGAAAACTAAGGTTGTGACAGAAGAAGGGCAGGGAGTGGGTGAATAACACAAGTACATGGTATGTAAACGTTGCTGTCTGTTGTCACTTCGCCTTTTTGAGAAGTAAATATGGAGAATGTCACCAACCAATTACCTACCATAGCATGGTAAAAATTACAGACTTCTGAATTCAAACCTGTCTTCATTTTTTTCTGCAAACTGAAAAGTTCTGATGAACTTCTTAACATCATTTAACACATGGACACTATGGCCTACAGAGCACAGACAGACATCTCTCTCTCATTATAATTCTCTTTTTTTGGAAAAAGTATTTTCCTTCCTAAGGAAGCATCTCTGAAAATTTCCAAGTAGCAAAAGTAAATGTTAGTCGATAGACAAATAAACAGCTTTCTGCAGAAAAAACTCCATCTACAACGTATCAGCCACAACAAATAAAATGTTCTAAAGTAAACGGAAACATTGAAAGCCTCTCTCCAGAAGCGAGTTCCCAAAGGATCATCTTGACTTTTGAAAATGAAACTGCTAAGGAATATACAATTCACATATACAATTCACATCTGAGAAAGACATTACAATAGTTATGTTTTCAAAAGCATCTTCTTTAAGTTCAGTGCCATCCAGTTCTGGGAACACACACTTCACTGTGTACCCCAGATAGGCCTCCAGCCATCTAAGGCTGGGGGCATTGCTAAGATAACCTCATGAGGTGTGGGTGTCTGCGTATCCCTTTCACAGAATACAGAGGCTTGTTCTTGCCTTGAGCAAGAACACAGTCAAAGTGATTCAACTGAGAAGGAAGGATTTTATGAATCTAGATTGGTAGTTAACAGATAGTCCAGAAATCTCCAGCTGAAAATTCAAAATAGAGACCTTAGGGTCGCATATGATGAAGTAAACAGACAATAAACGTCACTGAAATCGAACACATTTCCTCATCATTTTTATGTCATTCCTTCATCAGTCAGCACAATTTATTTGCAGCAACATTATGGCTTACAATCACAGCTTTAACTGTGAATTGCCTTCATAGTAGATTCAAAATTAAAGTATTAGAGATGTGCTTTACGCTAATTTGTAACACTGCTTGTGAGATCATTCACTTGGCTGCAGAAAATTTAACAGCATTTTATTACTATTAATAATGCTGCCATGGTCTCACAGGGAGTCTGAAACAAATTCTCACACACACAGTATATAGTTTTGGCAATATATATATATTACCAAAAAGGAGAACTTTTATAAATAATATACATATGATCTGCACTCCTATACAGTTTTATGCACAGATATTTTACATGATCAGTGAGATATGAAAAAATTAGGCAAGGCTCAGGATATGTCATTCTTCTGTCTTTTGATCTTTGCCCTTATCATATGCTTTTGTAATACACTCCAGAAGACATAAGAGCTTCTTAGACCTTTCTCAAGAAAGAGGTTCACATGAATGAACTATTTATGTACGCAATTTGTCTTTTCTCCTCATCAAAAACTTGGGACATGGTTGCCCTCCGATCATCTTTAATCTGCTTTGATTTTACAGATTGGATGAAGTCTACAGTTCAGTGCAACTGTCAGGACTCCAACAGTTTTCAGTTTGGAGCATGATCAAAACCAGTGCCACGTTTTGATCCCCACACTTCAGAACGTTTCCAACTTTTCCCTCATTAGGTTCTTTCATCTCACAGTGCCAATGCCCATCTCCACATAAGGCCCAGTAGAAAACAGCTCAGCTTTGTGCATCTAGCCAACCCAACACCTGCTTAACAAAAGAATTTCTTTATTAGGAAGGCATATTGCTCACTAGACATAGCTCAGCTCAGCTCCAGCCTGCAGCAAGGACAGACAAAACATCTCCTAAGGCAAGATTTACTTATGGAATAAAGCTCACTGATTCCATAGGCTTCAATAAAAAAATATTTCTAATCAGAAGTGCTGTATCAGCTGGTTACATGTCTCTATGAAGGAAGTCTGCAAGCTGCCTCTACCAATCCAAAACTGTGTGAATCAGTTGCTTTTAAAATGAAAACTCTACAAACCTTCCATTGAGGTTAAAAAACCTCAAATAACAAATATAAGCCCAAAGAACAGCAAGAAAAATACATTTACCCTTTAAAGAAAAAGAAATGCTTTGTCTGTTCCAGCCTGGCATACAATGGGCTATTAAGGGTATTTCTCAGCAGAGAATGATAAATAAAGCAAACAGGTCACTTAGGGCATTACAACACAGAAGATAGCATTCTTCCTGTCTGTAACAGTACTGCATCAACAGAGAACAGCAGAGCATAAGAGCACACGGGTTAAACTGACACAGAGCACGTTTATTTCCCAAATTACAGGGTTATCACCAGTTGCACTCCTTTTGAAATGTCTGCACATTTCACACCATCATGTATTACAGATGCTTTAACAGGAATCTAGTACAGGAAAAGGAGTGTGATCTTCACTAAAGTCACTTCACACTCCTCTATGATAAATAGCATCTTTTCAAATACAGAAGTTAAGGCAAAAACTGCTTTAAGAAGCCTCCTAAAGATGTCCTGCATCATTTCTTTGACTTCTAAAACCTTACTGCTGACACTACCATACTTTTATCTAAGGCAGGGAAAAAATGTCTGGACCCGTAATAAGAGAAATAAAACCTCCTTTGCTTTCAAATTTGCAAAGGATCCATTTCAAATACATTTACATGAATGAGATATTCTTTGAACAACTTGCCTTCATCTGAATAACAAATGTGGTTTTCATGTAAACGGTGCTGTCACCAAAACAATGATGACCATCACACATCTGCTAGCATTTGTTACAAAACTAAATAAAACAGACCAAGTGTCTTTAGAAAGAGCTGTGGTAACTGATGGTTTGATACCCTAAGCAAATGAGTTATCTGCATTGCAAAGGAGGATCAGTTTTCACAAAGGTGACCTGGTCAATCCCCATATGGAGAGCAGAAGCAGTATCAGCCCTAAAATTCTCTTATTCAACCTGATATTCAAAGTAGGGAATACACGCACACACACTAGATGGAGCCACCTACCTCTTCCAGGCACAGAAAAATAGTCAGAAAATTGAAGCAGACATAATAGAGAGGGTGACGAGAAAAAGGGCAGTAAAAAATAACAACTGAAGTACTTATGACACACTGCTTACCTAGTTGGACAAGATACTGAATAGTTAAAAGTATCATGTTCTCCACGCTTAGCAGCTGACTGCTGGTCAAACCCAGGAGCTCCAAATCCTTGTTTTCCAGCTGTGGAATCTTGTAGCAATTCACCAGCAAGGGACTTACAACAATATCACCAACATTGCCATAGAAATAAGGTAAAGTGCCATAACCTTTCATAAAAGAAACAAAACAAAACCCAGAAATTCACAAGATATGTCACTACATGAAATCATGTACAATGTATACATTTCCAAATTTCTCCTACATGTTACCTTGCCACATATGCTGCATCAGTGACTGTTCTTGACATTGTAATTACTAACAAAATAAATGAGATAGGCCACTGTTCCTTTAACCTCTTTTTTTTTTTTTTTTTTTTTTAAACAATGAATGATCACACAGATTTGCAGAAACTATGGGCAATGGCATATTAGGATAATTGTTTTTATTCAAATACAAATGAGAATATTATTTGCTTGGGTCTTACCCTGACCTTTTACACATTCTCCATAATACAGTGTGCAGAAACCCAAAAATCAATGGACGCAAAAGAATATTGATCTTAATGTTACAAAAGCAGCATCAGTATCAGCAGAATTGATTCAGCTGCTGCCATATCGTCTTGATTAGTTTCCCTTTTCTTCCATGTTTTCTTTCTGTTTTCATAAACAGTTAAAAAAGTATCAACAAATAAACATGGTGTTCTGTCAGGTAAAGCAGAGGAGAATAGGCTCTATTCTTTTCCTTGACAATGTTTTCCTTTCAAAAAAATTTCTGCACAGATATTGCCAAACCCATCCATTTGGGTACATCTGGTTCTGTTCTATTAATAGGACTCTGTTTCTCAGGGACACTAACATGTAGCCTAGCTGAGGACTCCATTGGCAGCTCTCCAAGAGCCTAAGGGCTGCATTCAATTTGCACTTAATCTGATAACTGTAGACAACCTCATCTTTAATAATGAAATGTTTCTCTGAAAACATTAAAGCACTACACTAGAGCTTTAGAATATACTTCTAGAAAACAAGACAAACCAAAAGAAGTGTAACCCTAACCTTGATAGTTTTACTGATGTAGACAGACCTGTTAATTCTTTGAAATTATGTGTATTAAGATTATCTGTTCAGGTGAGGACTCTGAGAACTTCTCCACTTCTTCATGAATGATAAACTATCCCATGGATTATACAGACAGGCATTTTCTTTTAACACTGAAGTTACTTTATATCTTTATAAAGTATACTTTATATACTTTATAAGGATTTGTACTGTGCTGGACTGGAAAGAGATTTGAAGAATTAAAAATAAAATCTGTCCTCACAATTTTCACAGACCTGGCCAATTTATCTCTGTTATATTTTATATTTTATATATATATATATTTTATATTTTATGTTTATATTGTTCAGCTTGAGAAGAATATATTCACATTATGAGTCACATTCTGCAGTAAAAGCAATGTCTTTCTAAGGGATAACCATGTACTCATATAGCTAAACAATTTTAAAAGTCTGATCTGTTATCTCAGTTGCCTACAGTAATTATAGACTATAAAAGACAAAAAGTACAATTCACTTTGGATTAGTCAGATCACATCAATTTTCTGGTTTTCGTGTGGAATTCTTGGGCTTTGAGATCTGAACTATAAATGCTGCAGGAAATACGTTCTTGTTTTGTAAGTTGTTTACACCGGAAAGCTGTTTCCATTATACGGAAATATTTCTATTCTTGGATTTCACAGAATTGTCACTTGTACAAAATTTCAGCTTGGCCAGAGGTCAGGACCTGTTTGCAAATCAGGTTCTCTCAGAAATCTAACTTCAAACCTGAAGTGTTGAGCAACTAAAGCAAATTATCCATGATAGAAAGACTACATACTGTACTAGATGCAAAAAGCAACAAAAAGAAACTAAAAAAGAAAGCGACAGTTTTCTCGTAGGGGAACACGCATTTGTTCAAAATGCAGCATTTGACTCCACAGTGTAAAACTTACCTATCAGAATCACTGGTCTGACTCCCGAGTTATTCAGCAGGTTTTCAGGAACAATTACAGTCTCCCCTGCTGGGATGGGTTGAGGCTGTAAAATTCCAGTTAACATGGATTGAGGAACTGGGACTGACAAAAGAGGCTCTATAAAATAAAGAAAAGAGAAGCTTCCATTACTAAAAGGCTCATACTGTGATTTGGCCATATGAACAAATAAAAAAAATAACTGCAGATCACAAACTGTAATAAAATTCAAAAGGCCTCTGCATTTCCTGCTATATCTTTAAGTAATTTAAATTAAGAAACTATACCCTTCTGTAGCCCCACCCCTAAAATAAAACTTTTCTGGCCACAGTATTGTTGGTGAGAATGAGGGAGGAAAGCACAGGTTTGAATATGCATCTGCAAACAAAGCCAAGTACTAAGCCAAGAGGCCATCTCTAAGGCAGAGGCCATCTCAGTAATATCTTTCAGTAAAAGGGAAGCAACTGGTCTGACTTAGGACCTAGAACATATGTAGACAAGAAAATAGAAGTCAAAATCTCAAAGATGTCCTTAAGCAGCTATTCATGCAAGAAGGTGCAAAAGTAGCTGTCACATGTAAAAAGAAGCAAAGTGCAAGATTCTGTCATGTGTTATCAGCTTCCGGTGTGAGGCCTGCTTCAGAAGTTTCTCAGGCTTCTTTTGGTTGTTTGTAACAGATTTTTCAAACAATGCTATCTGCATAAAAACACCACAGAGAGCATAAATGAATGTATGCATGCATATGCTTCAGCTGTGGAAACAGCTGTGACTGACTGGAGGTCCTCAAGTAGGTAGAACTGCTCAAATGGCCCTTTCTAAATGTAACCCTTCTTCTCATGATAAATACGTTTGAAAATAAATTCCAAGATATCTGTCAACCAAATCTTCCAAAGAAGAATTAAAAATAGGTTGTACATGACAACAAATGTTTTGTGCTTTTTTCCTTTCCTTATGTGTTTGTTCTCCCACTCTACAGAAAGATCAGTAATTGCATGTTCCCCTTTACAAACTATTCTGACTCCTGCAACTCCAAAGTCCTTAAACAGTAAACAATTTTATTAGTTGTCATGTGTGAAGTAGTACTGATGTGTATTAATGATGACTCACACATGCATATACTTCATCCTGTTTCATATTGTGATATGTCCCTCCTAGAGCTTTTCCACACATAGGCCTTTTGGTCTCACAGACTTCTCCTTCTAACCCAAAATGGGAATATCAGCATCCTGTGTCAGGCCAAAATTCCATAAATACATCCTTCCTGTACGAGAACCAAGTGTGCTGTTTCAGCAGAATGACACACAAGATGGAAACATCACATTCAAGCAGAAGGCTAATGGAAAGCCTTCAAATATGTTCAGATATTCATACAGCTGCACAATTTCAGAAGAACTGAGTTACATTTGGGGAAGTTAGGTAACATTAGATCCTTGTAACTCTCATCTTCCTTTTTTCTTCCTCATGAAGGATCAAGAATTTTGCTTTCCCATCTTTGATTACAGAAACGAAAACCAAATAATTGTGTGTTTTTCTTGGACATCTGAAGAACTCTTCACGATGTCTTTAATTACTAACAGCAAGCTCGGTGATATTTTCTGCGCAAATCTTAAGTGAAGCAGTACAGGGCTGCTGGTCTGCCTGAATATAGCTTTTTGCAAATGAAATCCCTGTATCATTCAAGTTTTACCTGTTCTAGTTGACGGTCGAATCGTAGGAACAGGTACCACTAAACCAGGAGGAGGTACTGGGGATCCAGGAGACCATCCCCGATGACGTTTCTTCGGTGGTCCAGAATTGGACACTGAGGCTGTGAAGAAAAGCAAAAACTAATTCCAAACTCCATTTTTGAATGACCTGACTCCAGCCTACATTTCCATTTCACAATAGGGTTGAGCTGTTTCACACTACAGAGCTCCTCAGGTTTACACCTAGACTTACACAAAGTCAGACTATGATGTGAGAAACCCTGCCATCTCTGTTAAAAACTACAGTGCGTTCATCATCAGAAAACAAATGGATATGTAAAGACTGAACTGCAGAAACAGTATGATGGGAAGAAAACCCAAATCCTGAATTTCAGGTCCAACAGACATCGCAGCTTAAAAAAAACAAAAAAAAAACAAACACAGAGCAGAGTTTTCTTTACCTTGGTCTCCAGCTGCACAGGCAGGGCTAGGAGAGGTTGAGTGAGGCATTGGCCGAGAGACTGTAGAATTCAATACATTATTTCTTCCTCCATTAGTGTTTCCATTAGCACCATCAGTGGCATGCAGTGAAAGAGGAGCTGAGTATAATAAAATACAGAGTGTGTGGCTTGAGACAATCTTGAAAACAAACAAACAAAACAATACAGCAGCATGCACACACAAAAGAATATGGCGAGATGCCTGACTGAAAGCATGAAGAGTACTTAGCAGAGGATAATTTGGACACAGGCTTCAAGATCTTAACGTTGAAACAAGACATCTGCATTTCTAGGCAGAAAAAATTGTATGAAGAAAAAGTCCAAAATAACCTTGCCAGAATAAAAAGATTACACACACACAGGAAAAAACACCGGTAATCTTGTGAAATGTTTTTCAGACACCCAGAATTTTAAAAAGTGCTCATCGTAAATTCAGTTCATAAAGGTTTCTATGTCTCACTGGTTCATCTACTTATTTTTCTCCCAATTATCCACATGCCATACTCATTAAGTCACTACAAGACTCTCATCTGAAGCCTTAGCATGGGAGATGTAAGAGTTTTCTGTGCAGCATGTCCTAAGCATTATCGAGGCAAACCATGCCTCTCAAAATCGGAGTAGCAGCACTTGCCCACTGCGAGCTCCCCATTTGTACTCCCATGTCAACGATCCAGTATGGACAGATCTGGCGGATGTGGCTTAATTACAGAAGTAAGTAGAAAAGGGTGGGGAGTAATTCCCCCTGCATGATGAATTCTCTTACTCAAGTAAAGAGAGAAAAAGTACTAGTATACTGAAGATATAATATACTGGAATATTTAAATATAGAATTTGCTGGTATTTTATACAAAACTGTGTTAATGATTTCTTCAATGCAGTGTATCGCCGAGGAGCAATACAGTAATATGTACATAAAATAGCAAAAATAAAGCACTATGTACAAAACATAATGCTCACACATATATGTTTATGTTTACTTGGTTTATATACTTGAATAAGGAAAAAATATATTTCCCTATATTATTTGTGATACTAGATAAATTAATAAATGATCAGAATACCACAACAGAGTACCTAAATGAGGGGTCGAGGTGCCACAGTTGATACTTCTAACTTACTAAATGTACAGTACAGAAATGATCAATTAAACAGCACATACAGTAAACCTCTTTTAAGTGAGACTGTATTCCACAAAATGCATCTGGAGTAACTATACCCACTACAAAAGGCACACAGGTTTCAGTTATTGTGGCAAGAATCACAGTCAGATCAAGGGGTGACTTTTCCACTCTCTTAGATGTCTTAGCAAGTTCAAGGGAGATATGATATGCATTTCTATCAGAATGTCAAATCTGAAAGCCAAAGTGTGGCTCTGTCTGGAGACAGGAATGACCACGGATAATCTCAGTCCAGAGAACTGAAAGAATGTGAGGACTCTAGAAAATACTAGTGAACTTTCTCCTTCCCTTTTTCCATCTCTACGATCATTTCCTTATTTCTTTGCTGCAGAGCAGATAATTCCCTTGGCTTTCATTTGTCCTGAAAAGCAAAGTGCTACCTGAAGCAAATGTCTTTCCTACAAGCTGCACTGACAAAGCCAAAGGTTTCACAACGTTCTTGTTCCGAGATGGGTCTTGAGGTCCACTTAAATTAATAGCAGAAGATGATTTTGCTGGACTGAACACTGAAGAATCTGAGAAAAGAAGATGTTTAACTAAGCAATAATTGAAAACTACTAAATATCAGTATTCATGCTTTGTACTATATTAGCACAACCATGCATGTACATTTATCTATACACCTTTGCAAATAATGCACACAAACTATTTTACACTTAAAAAAAAGTCATTTAAAGATATCTTACAAGAGTTGTAACAAACATTTACCAGGCATTTCTGTAGAATCTAATAATATACTAAACCCAGGATAGATGTCTTTCAGAATACTCAGTCTTCACATACCAGCTGAAAAATAATTTTAGTGTACGAGGAGTCTGCTCTCAAAACTGCTCCTTAAAACACACCTGTGAGATAGGCAAGTAAACATATTTATCCTGTGTTACAGATGAGAAAGCTGAGGCAAAGAGTTGGTGTGACTTGTCTCCAGCAAGCACTGCGAATGGGCACTTGGAAAAGGCTGCCTAAAAGGCTTTGGAATCTCTGTCACATGAGACTTTCAAGAACATGCTACAGACTTCGCCAGACTAAGATGAGCCTGACTTTGTATAAGCCTGACTTTTTTGTATAAAAAAATTAAATACATAACCTCTGGAGATCAGCTTACACCCCTATTATCTATAAGGCTATAAGAAGTGTTACCCTGCATAAGAAACACTTAAGAAAAAAATCTAAAAGAAAAAAAAAAATCTGCATAAGAAAAAAAAGTTAAAGTTTGCCCGGTATAAAAATATAAATCGTAACAGGTTCAGAAACTCTCTGCATGCTAACATTAGGCATTTCGTGCCTGAAATTTATTTCAAAGAAAAATCCAACATTGGGAAGCTGATACACTGGCAAATCCAAATTTTTCTTCCCAGGGTGAAGGAACATTATCTCAACATCTGTGCAGAAAGTTGTTTGCAAGAAATAGGCTAAGTTCACCTACAGATGTCCTAGTAAAACAGCCAGGGGAAAAAAAAAACCAGAAGGCAAAGACCAACTTGATCTGCCAAACACATTTCTCCCCAGGCGACACACCATTTGGTGAGGAAGGATGGGAGGAGGAGAGTCTGTTTTGCCAGACAAGCAACTGAGATGGGGAGAAAACAGGAGCCAATAGGGTTGCTCCAGCAGAAAGCCTTGTCCACGTTCACAGGACAAATGCCGTAAGGCCACCAGACTGCTAGCTCAAAGGCTTTGCAAGATAACACTGGTCTCTCTTTTTTTATTATTTTGCTTGTTTTCTCCCACTCTCTGAATTCTAATACATTTCTTTACATTTTATGTGTGAAATCAGGTGGCTGGTATATGTATAAACATCACATTGACACCTAAGCAGGACTTGTAGTACTACCTTTTATTAGTTTATCTTTCTATCATAAAACTTGGTCTCTAGTTGTTTACCATCCTTTAAACACCTGAATTGAAGTTTTATCTCTTGCATGTCTGCCTAAACGGAATTCTTGATGCTGTTCAAAGTTTCAGCCACTTTTGTAATGCCAATTAAAATACAGCTCATTTGACCCAGAACTGCATCTTCTCATGCTGTTCTGAACAAGGGACAGTGTCACAGCCATACCACACTGTCAAGTTTAACTAGGATATTTCAAAATTCTACTGCACTCTAATTTCTATCATGAAATTACAATTTCTGACATGACTGCCTGCCTACAGGTGTCTTCTAGGAGATGGAGACTTAATTAATGCCTTACAAAGGCAGAAGACAGATATACTTACACAAGTTTAAAGGGAAAAATGGGTGAGTTGACAAGAAACAGCAAACAATTTTAAAAAGCAACCTGCTAATGTGTACTCCCATTTTAGAACAACATGCCATCCACCCTGAAGTGCAAGTAGCTATGCAATCCAAGGAGAGCAACAGCCAGACCTTTATGGGCAACATATGTCAGAATTCACACCAGAGGAAAAAAGGTGCCCTTCCCCCTTCTCCTGGTCACTGGGAATTCAAACGTATGGATGTGGCATTATCTTCACTAGAAGATAACCCAGAACAAGATGAAAAGGTCTGAGACAACTGTGACCTAAGTGTACAAACAATGACACATAAAAACCAAGCAGACTGAAAATCACAGTGAGTGATAAGCAGAAAGCAGTATATAAAAGGTGTATCTATTAACTTGGCAGGTACAACAGAAGACAAAACTGCATTAAATATTGTGTCATTTGTTATTTCAAATAAATAGGTTATTATGCATCTGCACAGTTCTCACATCAGTCTCTAGAAGCCAATGGATCATGCAGTGAAATGCAGATGTGTTTGAATGATACTCTCCTTTCATTCTAATAAAAGCCTAAAGCACACAGCCTGCTAATCAGAAGGAGGGTTGATCACTTAGAGAAAGGATTTTTCTGAACATATTGATTAGTGACTGCAGTTCCATTAAAAGACCTATGTTCAGTTTTTGTTTGTTATGCACTTATAGCTTTTTTCAATTTTTTTTTTTTTTAATTTATTTATTTTTACTTTTCTTTCTATTTGAACAAGCTTGTTTTCTCATCTGCATTTCATCCTCCATTAAAGGGATTTCTGTTGTGGCACATACATATCAGCCACTTATAACCACCAAACAGAAAGCTTTTTTCTGCTTTTAATTTTTCAAGAAATAGCAGAAAAAGACATAAAAGCATACAACACAGATAAAGCTGCAATGAAACAATGAGAAAACAAAAGTCAAAGAGAAGCTCTTTAGCTATTTCTGAAAAATAAATTAATTTATGATGCTGCTCCTTTGTCAGCCAACGTCCATTTGATTTTTACTGCTTCTCCTCAGTCAGGTCTGTCGTTAATAGAATTTTAGAACTGGAAAGCACACACGAGACTCATAATAGAGCTCAAATAATGTTAAAAAAGCTTGTATTTTAAGAGGAAATGCTTTAATTTTTACTTCTACCCATGTGAAAATAAATAAATAAGCAAATAAGTAAATAAGAACTGTCCTGCTCAGCCCCAAAGGAGAATTTTTTTCCCATTTCTAGGCAAATACCCTGGTCTATATACACTAAGTAAGGATCTTGCTATAAAGGCTGTAAATATATAATTCAAGTATTTTGAGATTCACAAAACGAAGCAAATACAGGGAAATAGAATAAAATAAATTAAACAAAAGACCATTTAATGCTTTTTCATTGACTGCTCCTATGAAGAACAAGTCTGTCTTCAACCTCATCTGGCTCTTAATCTCTCCCACAGCAAATTCCAAAAGGTATCCTCCCAGCTGTAATCTATACATGGCTCAAAGTAAATACTCACTTGTTTATGGCATCTCTAAACCAACAATATCTGAGGTAACTTACCACCCCAATGGTTATCTTTATAGCACTTTCAGCTCCTACCTGTCTGAGTGAACCCTGATTTGTATCCATTAGCTGATCCACCCTCTGGGGTCGTGGACGGTGACACCGCAGAATTTGGTTTAGCAGAGAGGCTAGCAGCAGATGATTGCCTGCTTCTACATTCTGCAAACGAAGCAGCTACAGTACATATTAACAAGGCCTGCCTTCCAGCCAGAAAGTTCAGCAACACCGTGGTGAAAGGTGACAAAATGTTAAAAGCATACACACAGCACATACAACAAACAGCAGCAAATGGCAGCATTCAACGAAAATACAGCTCAAGCAGTTTAGTCAACTTTGTGTTCTAATTAAGAAAACCTCCCCAGGGGCCACTGAGAGTGCCAGACAAATAGAGACCAGATGCTGCAAAATGGCCAAGAGCCCTCAACTCTCAGCCTTCAAGAGATTTGAAGGTATTGGACATATCCCAGGAAATGCTATGTGACAGAATCTTTATACAAACCATCATATGTTGCCCTTTAGAAGGAAAATTGTGCTGACACTCAGATTGTTAGTATGCATCCAGAAAATCTTCAGGGAGATCCCATCCCTGGGAACGTCTGTCTGGATGAAAACTTAGTTGAGGGAGGAGAAAATGACTTTTAAAATCTCATATTGATCTGTTTGTTTTTTTAAAACTGAGATCTAAACAGGTTTTGTTTGAAGAGATTGGGATGCTCAACAGCATTTCTTTTCTGATTAGAGCTTTAACGTAAATAAATGGTGAAGGGTGTCTAGATGGATGGTACCAATACAGGGGTAGAGACCATCAAAATAATGCCCAGCAGGTCAATTTTTGGTCAATTTTCTAAAGTTTTGTAGGTTCTGAAAACACATACAGTCAACACATAACCAAAAGCTAGCCTTGCACCTACTTTTTCCACACCATCACATCTGTGATTAAAACAAGGTTTAAAATGGCTTTTCACACATGCTAGCCCTGACGGTATGTACCAAGACATACACCAACCCCAATAGCATGATCATCAGGGGGTTCAGGGAAAGGATTCCATTCCCCTCCTTGCATTTCAGAATACCAGTAGCCTAATTATTGCCTTCGATGAAAAAAAATCTACGTACAACGAAACAAAATGCATGACTGCAGATTACACTTTCTAACCAAGTGAAGATTAAGTGATTGTTGTCAATGGTCTTGCATATGAACATCACCAGGCTGCACAAAATGTTCCAACAAAACAATCTGCTAAGTAGTGCATTAGACTGTACTGTATTGCATGGACAAACCTCTCCATAATTCATGGAAAACTGTGTACAAGAAGGGTTTCTTTCTCAGTATTCAGTATTTAAGAGACTACCAAATTAAATTTCAGTAGTTCTTGTGAAAAATGATGATGAAAAACACATCCACTCTGAAGTAGTAGATAATTATACTTGTAATCAAGAAAAACAAAGACAGGACCCCTTTGAACCACAAACTGATACATTACTGTAATTACTCATACAGTTTAGTGATAATCATCTCTCTGGTGTCCTGTTGCCATTCACATGAGGATGTGACTCTTCAGATGTGTGTCAGTCCTCTTGTGGAGTTTCTCCTCTCCTCATCCACTTGGAACAACAGGCACCGGATTGAACTCTGTCATTACTGAGTGACAAAAATGGCTGAGGAAAATAGGCAGCCAGCATATACACCAGCTTAGCAGGCAATGAGTAGGTAAACTGTTCTCTCCTCAAGACTTCGGACAGCTCTAGCTCAAAAATCCTGCATCCATAATTACCAGACCCCCTTGCCTTGCCTTTGGGTTGCAAATGTCATCTCTTTAGCAGATTTGTTTACAATACTGCAGAGGCAGAGGGTAAGCCCATGTATAAAACACCCAGTGGATGGCACGAGCGTGCATAATCTCCTTTCCTTGCAATCAGTGAGCTGAGCTTTCCTAATACAATGATGTGCTGGCTATCCTCAGGCATTAGCCAGATTGAATTGTACCTGCTAAGATGAATATCAGTGTAAAGCCAGTGCCAGAGCCCTTGCTGTGAGTCATCTTGTTTTAGGTACGGGAAAGAATTACAGATGGAGGAATCTTGTTTCTTCTACCTAGGTGACTGCATATCTTAAGGATAGATTTAGCACTCCCAGTGGAAGCACTGGGAGATGGAAGAAGACAATTTGTATTTGTGTGATTACTAAGAAGATACAAAAAATCTCTTTGGCACAATCCAGACTTCAAAGAAATCGTAGAGAATTTTTCTTTCAATCAGAAAATAAATTCATTTTCCTTTCTTTTTAACATATACATTTCCAGCAGTAACTTTCATTTTTTCATTCAACATCAGGTTAATATAATATTAAAACCCCAAGTGAATGGGCACCTTCATTACCTTTCCAGCAAATAAGAGGTCCCTTTGACAGTACACCTTGGGAACTTCTTACTAGGTAGTACTTTAAGTGCTTCTGCTTCTTTGGCTGAGTGGTTAATTTCAGGTTGATATGATTAGAGAACTCTGTGAAGTACCGAAATCCTCTTTCTCCACAGCCTATACAATTCCCAGAAAATCCTGCATGAATGAAGCAGAAGGTACACACAGATTGAACAGCATGTGACAGCTTCTAGGAACAAACCACTTTACCCTACCTGTACATCCAGTTCAGAGTGCCTAGATGCCATCAGCCAGATAGTTACCACAAATGCACTGCTCAGCACACGTGTCAAGCAGCAGCCAAACACAGGCAGATTTTAGTCTTTATCCTTCTGAAACTCTTCCATATTTTCAGGTCACACTAACTTAGGCCAAAATTCCACTACCACTGTTCAACTCTATCCAGAGCAAAGAACTGTGAGGTTGGGAGAAGCTATGACGCCAAGAAAGAAAATTTCCATAAGATCTCCCATTTCTGTTCTACATTTCTACCTCAAAAACCACAGGTTCCAACCCAACTGCTTCCTTCCCTCTCTCAAAATAGTGCCTAATCCATGATATGCACAGACACTTTGTGGGACTAAAATTAACCTAATATCTAGTGACTTTTTCTGAGATTCCTCATGCAAGGCACTCTCCAAGAAAGGTGGACCTTGCATCTTTAATATCGAAGACTTAACACCACTCATTTAAGGCTGATAAGGCTTGTATAAGCTTATAAAAGCTTTCACCGAAGGAAAAAAAACATATAAACATAAAATAAGAGCAAGGCAGGCAGAAGGCTACTTTTCTGCAATGTTTCTGACATGGTTTCATAAAATGGGATGAAATTTTGCACTGATTGTGGGGGCCTGGGTATATACTGAGGACCATATACAGCTCAGTATATATACCATATACTGAGGACCTTTGACACAGCTGTGAATGGCACTGGAAATCAAGGACAGTACTGTACACAAAGTGCAGCAATCTGGAATCTTCTAGAACAAAGCATAGAGATATTCTAAAATAAGCCTGCCTTAAAATCCCTGTTGCTTGAATAAATCCACTTCCTTTATCACCCAGCACTGAACAATTAGAATCCTTTGGCTTATTTGCCACTCCACTAATCTTCAAATTGTTTTCAATCTTTAATGAAAAAATACTTAATATTCTTTCCGGAACTTCAATAACGATTTAGAATACAGCAGGGCTGATAAATACCTCATAGAAATCCTTTACTTTTGTTTTTGTGTTTTGTTTTGTTTTTCATTTCTCAGATCAAGATCTACCACAGAAGCAATTTTTCACCTTCATTATAATTACTACAATGCTAGGCACCTCAGAAAATAGTTTCCCATGCTTTCCCTATTAAACTCACAGTTTTATAAGAAAAGATATTCGGTCTGCCAGTCCGACAAAATGCATTTTCCATAGAAGTCTAATTAATTTGGCTATTGTCTTTAGCCTAATTGTGCCTAATTATCACATTTTACCATCACGTTGCTAGAGATGCCAAGAAGTAGACTTCTTCATTTTGTTTATCCTAGGAATTAATTGGTTCTTCCCTTCTCCTTTGCAATCCATAGGAACTATTGGCTACAATTTTCAGAAACAGTCATCAGGATCTCACAAGGTTACTCAGTCAATTCCTGTGTACCACTTACACAGGCACAGAGTTATTTAAATACGTAACATCAGCAATGCCAGAACACAGTTGTGAGTCAGTAGGCTCTTTATCAATGACATCAGAAACAAATAATTGATACAAAGCTCTGGGCGTAAGATGGGGAGCTTATCACAATGATTAGTGCTACCACATCTGATCAGACTGAACATCAGCACTCTGTGTATCAGATAGCTTGTACTGATCAACTCTCCCCATTCTCCCTGTTCACTGGGGAGCAGTTCCTATAGCAATAAACACCAGGGTATTCCCCATGACCTCACCTCCCCAACTGCACCCAGCAAGGACACATCACATAGTTATTTCCCATCTAATTTTCCCCAGTGGAATCTCTGCCACAGGTCCAAAGGTTTACAGAATATTAAATAGGCTTAAGGGAAAAGTAATACTAAAGCTCGTAAGTACGAGGAAGAGGTGCTTTCAATAGTTATTAAAATATTGCTAGAACGGACCAGAATTTGAGTCGTGTGGTTAAGAAGGGGTATTTATGCTTCACTGTAATTTCTTCTCCATTGAAAGTCTTTCTGAATGCATGCTAGGCAGTACAGTGAGAAGTGAGAATATAAATTCAAAACAGGATATAGGTCCAAAATACATTACATCACTTTCACTATTCTGTTAAAATGCGCACCAATTGTAAGGCAGGCAGGAAAATCCAGGTGCCTTTCTTCAGTGACCAAGAAATATTCCTGTATTAAAATACAGAAGCTCATAAATGTAACCAGTGATGTACATGTATTATCAAAATCTGTGTATTAGTTTCTGAGAGCCAAGTTGACAACAGAGCTCCTATTGAAAACTATGTCCCTGTTGGAGAGAAGAGCAGAATTTGCCCATTAATCTATAGCAAAACAGCTCATCATCTACAGCTGCATGAGCATATTTCTTCTTTAATGAAAGCGCTGCAAGCATCAGCAGAAGTAAAGAGCACTTGGAGAGTTCACATTGCCAGGCAAACAATTGTTTTCAGCCCACACAGAAATCATTCAGCTTCAACTGTGGTTAATTGTGGAATCAGGGACTTATTTCAAAATAAGCTTTCATGGCAGGTTCAGCTATAGATTTCATTTAATAAAAACAAGCCTCTTGTCAACATATTTCTAATAGAAGGTCATCAGCTGAAATGACTTCAGATAATTCTGAACCAACCTTTTTCTCTGAATTGTTATGGTATGAAGGAAAAAAAAAAACCTCTTACCTAAAAGTGCATTTTTTCCATGATCATCTGGCAAAAACCGCTTGTCGACTGCGCAGACTAGAATGTGCTCAGGAAGGTTTGGAGACTTGGCTCCTACTAACAGGAAGCCTGCTGGGATATCAATTTGCTCCGTGCACAGTGATACTAATCGTAAATCCTTGCCTGCTTGACAAAAACCTAAAAATAAAATAAAACCAAAACAAGTGATAAATCTTTAAAAGATTTTTATTACAATTATTTCTTTTTATCAGTTCCATTAACAAATGGGGTTTTTCACAATCTGATGCTGTTTTGTTTTGTTTTAAATATATATTGTTCAAGGGAATAATGATACAGCACCTACTCAACTCAGATCTACTAGCTCAGGGGTTCAAAGACAGTAAATAGACTATTTTAAAGAAATCCTGAACATTCAGGAAGAGAAGACCATAAAGACAAGATATCAAATGGTTCAGAAACTGCTGTTCTTTCCACAAGCTTTCAAAACAAGAAGGAAAACTTGTAATTTTATAGCACAAAGTAGCTCCTAAAACACCCCATAGAATTACTCTTTACTTCACAAAATCTTAGCTTACAGTTTAAGTTCAGAGGAATCAGTTTTGATTTTGTAGCTTGTCTCAGGCTGGCACTGGTATAAAATTACCACTAAGCAGTATGAAGGTATGATAAAATATGATGAGTGAAGTTTAATACTGACTATTAAAGGAATAATATTTTAAAATTAAATTCCAACTTGTCTCTAGATTAAGCATTCTAATAATTCCGACAAGAAAAAAAATGAGGTAATTCACTGCTTCAGTAAAAGCTTGCTCTCATCAACCTGTCTGCTCTCCAACTCCATACTGATCATGTCAGATCAGACAGAGTTTTTTCAGAAAGCTTTTAGCATTCCTCCTCAGTTCTTTTTTATAGAAGTTGACTCAGACATCTCTTAGCTGGACATGTTTTTAGAGCTATACAACATGCTTTCTGTAAATCTCCAGTTGAGTGCTGTGTGACTTCAAGTCTCCAGCTTGTTTTTCCTGCACACAGATATGCAAATGCAGTGTGAACATTACACTGGTTCTCGTACAGCTAGTTAATACAAGGGTAAAGCCAGTGATATGGGCAAGGGGAACTGGAGTGAGCAACTTGGAAATGGCAGGCTGGGACACACCACAAAGCAGCCCAGATCTGTGGTTGAACATCCCAGCAGCATCCTTGGGAGCTTAGGACTCATGATGGGCTTGGCAGCCACCTACTAGGCAGCCATGCTCAGGATTTTTTAAAAGGCTACATGAGATGGCTTTGTGGTTTTTAACATTGCAGAACAATTTAGGGACCTCCGAAGGTCTACCTGGACCAATATTTTATTCAAAAGAAAGCCAATTCCAAAGTTAGATTTTTGTAACTTAATTAAGCTCCCAACAACTTTTAAGGACTCTTCCATTAAGTTCAGTACTGAACCTGAAGGATCACAATCACACAAAACCTTTTTCTTTAGTTATTTCCACTATCAAATGCAATAGTGACAGGTGTGAGAGAAAGCAACAGTTATGTGGTTTCCTCTGTGGGCAAGGATTACCATCACATGGGACTTCCTGATCTCCCCTAGGCAGAAGTCAGTGGAAACACCACCAACTTTTACTAAGATCAAGATTCTAATGTCCAAAGACATTACACAGTCATCCACTGACTACCTCTCTTTTGCTACAACCACAGAAATATGGTAGCATAAACAACATATTGGTTCATACAGATACATGCATATTTCTACCTAAAGTATCACCGTAACATGTTCTGTTTTCACATTATCATTAAAAACATGTCAAACTTAATTTGGAATTACTGAAATACCTACTAACACTTAACCTACTAATCGGTATTAATTAGATTTAAAATATTTTTCAATCACTCTATAGCTAGTAGAGAAATGAGAAACAAAAACCAAACCACTAGAGAAAGATTATAAGTATCAAGAAACAATTTGTAGCTTAACCCACAGCCACCTTGAGTATTATTAACTTGGCTGTACTCTCACGTACTATGCTCCCACACGGCTTAAAACTTCAGCAAGGATAGTGAAACCTGATGTTGTTTTTTGTTTGTTTTTATCTCACACCTTTACCTGGCAAAGATCATGTGTGAAGTGGAATGCCTATAGTCAGCTGTTGAACTCCCTGGCAAGCAGCAACTTGCTGAAAATGTGGTACAATACACGCTCAGTCCTGCGCCTTACACCCACAGTCTGCTGAGCCAGTTCTTGGCTGAATATTTTCTGCAGTAATTCAATTAGCTCAGTTGAAGCAACAGCTCATTCAAACTGAGAGCTAGTCCAGATTCGCCCTCTTACATTCCTTCTTCCAACCAATTAATTAAAATTAAATGCCTGAAGTTTTTTATTTGTTAGAAATCAATGAATTTTAATGATTGCTTACCAATGAGAAGGAGCCTACATTTTAGGGGAAAAACATTGAAATTCCCTGTTTAAAGAAAAACAACTTATTTTATAATTAGACGAAGTTGGATTAAAATAAGTAAAGCTCTTTTAAAGGTGTATTCCTTAAAAACATTAGGATTAATCCTAATCAAATGGAACGCTAGGTGGCCAGGTAAGAATTATCCAGACTTTTTAGTGTAATTTGTGAAGAAACAGCTGCAGACAAATATGTGAATGAAAACTCCCTTACATTCAGAGCAGATTCTTGTTACTCAAATGTTTATGTCATTTGGATATTATGCACAGAATTTTCAAAATAGATCTGAAATATTTTGTGCATTCGGTGCAATCTGAGTATCTGACATACTTAGAAAATGCCACTGTACATCTAGATTTAAAATAGAAAAATTACCCACTGTTGACAATGTTGGCAAACAGGAAATCTGTAGATAAGGATTATGAAACAGCAAATGTGATAAGATTCCAAGGCAGATTTAAACCTGTCTCTTCAAAGAACTATTTTTTCAAGAAATGCCCAGAAGCACAAGCAATGTCTAGAAAGAGGCTATTGAATGAACTGTTGGCAATGGCAATACTGGGACACCAGAGAAAGCAGGATTCTGACTGTCAACACATTTCACTATGGACTTGGTTTCCAACATGCAACATTCAGATGGCTGAATACAGAGATAGTAGAAAAGGTAACAGTTTTAAATTGAAAGAGAGTAGAGTTTAGAGCAGATGTTAGGAGCAAATTCTTTACTAAGAGGTTGGTGAGGCACTGGCACAGCTGCCCATGTAAGCTGTGGTGCCCCATCCCTGAAGGCGCTCAAGGCCAAGTTGGATGGAGCCCTGGGCTGCTGGGTGGTCCCTTTGAGGTCCCTTCCAACCCAAGCCATTTGATGATTCCATATCATACATGAAAATCTGAGCTTTTCTGGATGCTTGAAGGTTTGGATGCCCCAGTGAGACGAAGCATTGCACCAGTACTCTACATAAACTCCTGCACCACTTGCAAATAATATGTAACATTTGCCCCTGTATCATCTCTTCCTCTATCCAAAGCTCTCTGAGATCCCTTCCACAATCTTCTTCTTCCACCCTGTGCAATCTCCTCCTGCATCTTTTTCTGGCGACATCTCTGCATCAGAGGTATGCATGTGTAGATCAGCTGGCCAGCACATGCCTCCGTAATGTTTGGGCTGTGTGAAAGGAGAGGTATAATTACCTTTCTGCCCCAGGGGACGCTAGTTTGGGGGCTCCAATGTCACCTGACAAGCTCCTGAACTTTACAGATCTTGCTGATACTAAGCTCTCTACATTTCAGCCCGAAGTGGCTGAAAGCAGCTACCATTCCCCTGACAGGAGGGCAGCAGGACATCCAGGCAATTGCATCAACCGCGTTTTCCTGGGAAGCAGATTGACAGCACCGATACTGAACGCAGTACCCCCGGCTCCCCTTGCCGCAGGGACAAGCCATCCCTAGAGACAGGCAGCGATAGGGGGCAGCACAGGGAGCCTCACACCTCCAGGGGCTCTGGTTCACCCGGTGCCACAGCACCAGCGAGGAAAAGCTGGCAGTTTGGCCAGATACAGCACAGCTGGTGTTCGCTTAAAGCAGGAGATATTCAGAGAATGTAAAGCTGCTGCTGTGCAGTAAAATCTTGAATTTTCCTTCAAAGATGGTATTTGCTCAAGACCCCATCCTTCCCCTTGGTTTTTGGGACTGTAAATCACTTAGTTTCAGCAGCTTTTTAAACTAACTGAGAAAATTCCATGCAAGAAATAGTTATTTGGAAACAGGTAATTGACTACAGGGAGATGAAGGAAGGATTAACCACTTTGTCTGCTACGTTTGAACTATGAAAGTACATTTTTCTAGCCAGCAAGCAACACAGAAACCCAAACTCTTTTCCCCTCTGTTTTGCATTGATTATGCATTGATATTTAATTACCTACTAGAGATACGCGTTTCCATATTGGGAAAGACAACACAGGATCTCTCTGCACAAATACAAATTGTGTTGCACGCGTATAAGATTTTGACCATGCAAAATCTATTTCCGTCTCATGGCTGAGATTTATAACTCATTTATAACTGAGTTAATACCTAATTTTTTTTATGCTGAGCAACCCTAACACGACTAAGACAACGACAAAACCTCTGAGCCACTGAAATAAATCAGCTTCTCTTTATGAAATTGTTTATCACCGTGCAATCATAAAAAGCAAGAGCACACAGCTGAGCTGCTCCGTTAAAAAAAAATAATAAAACCTAATCTTCCCACAGGATCTCAGCTTTGTTTAAATAAAGAACAGGCATTTGTATTCTGATTGGGGATTTGCAAATATCAAGAGCAGTCACAGAAAGAATAGTGAATGGCTTTTACAGACATTATCTGCATTTCTTTGAAAGAAAATTCATTAGGTTTTGCTTCTAAGTAGCATATTTACATTCTCAACATCACTTTGTTTAGGTTAATTCAGCGTTAATTTTGAAAATGAAAATGTATCTGCTCAACTGCTGACACCCAGAAGCCCTGGAATTTCCTTCACATTTAAGTTTTTATACATCTTCCCTTTCCTCACCGATAGGAAGAAGCAGTTTCAGTGTGGGCTACCAGCCCCTAGTTGAACTGCAATAAATGAGGTATTTGCATAAGAAATTAGCTTCCAAGAATTACATATGAATTACCAGTCACTGTCACTTGCTATTGTAACTTCACAGTAACTGATCAGGCGTTAAGTACCTGCTTACCTAATTGCCTCAGAAACTGCTTCGGCCCTTCTTTAAGCAACAAGTAAACTGAGGGTTTTCTAACAAAAGAAAGGTGCTACTATTGTGCTTCCCACGTTTTGCATAAAATGCTATTCTACAACTTAGAAACCGTCCGTTTTAAAGCAGCAGCAAAGAAATTGTTAAGAGCAGTTTCCTGTATTATTTTGTTGCATTTGAGATACCTCTCTGAAAACAGTTTTTTTTTCTTAAAATCTTATTTTCGTGGAAATTACAGTAAGTTAATCCTCCAAACTCTATTATTCATGATTGCAAAGCCCTTACTTTTATAAAGTAAAGCCCTTACTATATAAATGCAGTTGCTCTTTCCAAAGGCTAACAGGAAAGTTAAGGGATGTAACATTACGGCCAGCCGCGAAGGAGCATCCAACAAGCTGTCATTCGCAAAGCACTTGTTTTTACCCATGAAGAAAGGCAATGAGTGCTTTCTGCATGCATGTGACTGACAACTCAGCCATCTGAGTAAAAGTACAGGTCATCACAGAAAATTATCTAATGACAACAATATAGATCCTGAATTCAGGAAAAGCAAACAGTACAAATACCTTAAAAGGGAGAAAGATTTCAGTCCATCGGTGCTAAAACGTGGGAGATGGGTTTTACAGCAAGAGGAACTACGAACTGTGGGTTCTGGTACCAAGGTTTTGCTCTTGGATTAGCAATGAAGCATAGGCTCAGTTTAAAGCATCCAAACAGCCACAGTGACTTCAATTAGTCTACCAGTATTCTTTAACATTTACCTAACATTATTTATCTTTCTAATTAAATAACTAAGATAAGGAATGTAAACAATGGCAGCAATTGTGTCTTAAGTCTCTGGAAGGGCATATTCATGAAAAGAAAGATGAGCTATACAATTAATATCTCACTGAGATACAACTAGCAGAGTGAATGTTTTAAACAAATCTGGGGGTTTAAAGACAAATAAAACTGTTCTTACAGATCATCAGTAATCTTAAATACATATTTTTCCCTTTCATTTTCCAGACACAAAAGGAATATACTCTTAAATACTGAAAACACTGAAGAGAGACAGATTTTGTAAATTCAAAACAGCTAAGTTGATAAAGGGTAACGAACAATCCTAAAATCTGGGAGAATGTTGGGAAACTTTCTTCTAATGTATGATGATCATAGATGACTTTTAAATAAAAATCAAAACAGAGAATTGTCTATGTAAGGTCTTCCAGAACGTACTAAAGCCAACAATACTACATGAATACATGAGCATATAGTTACAGACACTATGTAACTATAGCGTCACTAGACATAACCTTGTGATAAGCAATATGCAACCACACTGCAATGCAGGGAGCACTTGTCACTGAGCATCCCCTTGCTGTGCCATGTCAGGCAGCAATGAAGCAGTCCTGAGCAGAGGCAGCATTGATAAACATGGAACAATTTGCATTTTATGTAGATCGTAGAATCACCAAGGTTGGAGAAGACCTCTAAGATCATCTAGGCCAACCATCCACCTACCACTAAGTATTTCCCCACTAAACCATGCCCCTTAGAAAAACATCTAAACGTTTCTTGAACACCACCACAGACAGTGACTCAATCACCTCCCTGAGCAACCAGGAAAAAACTTTTTCTAATATTCAACCTGAACTTCCCTTGGTGCAACTTGAGGCCACTCCCTCTAGTTCTATTGCTAGTTACACAGGCGAAGAAGCCAATCCTCACCTGGTCACAACCTCCTTTCAGGAAGCTGTACAGAGAGATGAGGTCTCCCATGAGCCTCTTCTTCTTCAGAGTGAACAATCCTTATTCCCTCAACCATTCCTCATAAAGCCTGTGCGCCAGATACCTCACCAGCCTCGTTGCTCATTTCAATTGCCTCTCTCATCCCACTTTCAGCTGCAGTGTCCTGCTGGCATGACCTTCTCTTCTTCCTTCTTAGTGTTTAATCTTTAATATATTTGGATGCCATTTCAGCTCTTGTCTGGTAAGCAAAGAATTTCCCATAGCGGTCAGTCTTTCTATTATTTGTATTAAAGGGAACTGGAGATACACTGTCATGGAGGGTAAATGCTTAAATGAACTACATTCAGAAAGAATAAAGTAAAAGAAAAGTCCAACAGGTATATTCATAATGATCCATCCGTTTCATTCACAAGTTTAAAAGAAAAAAAAATAGTACTGTCAGCAATTTTGATCACTCAAGGATTCAATCAGGATTGCTCAAGGTAAGCAACCAATAACAAGCGGGCAGGTGGGGAAGAGAAAACAGACAAGGTTCCACTAACGTCCCTCTTATCCTCCTAGTAGCAGAACAAACAGTAAGTTTCTTCCCCACGTTCTCCCTCCAACTCTTCTTTCTGCCCATGGAAGCAACAAAATCCAGCGTTGCCAAAGTTTCGGATACACCTTAGTGTCTAAGCACTCTGCTAAGGTTTTAGGGATAGACTGGGAACCAGCCATATCAGTGTTGACTCAAGAAACTTCTTTGAGGACAGTAAATCAGTGATTAGTAAAGAAAATAAGGGACTTCCAGAAACTAACCATGGAAGTGCCATGGTGAATCTTAGGAACTGTTTTCAAGTAACACATTTCATTTTATATACTAAAAAAAAAAAGTCCTCTTACTCTATGCCATCTTAGATCTAAGGCTTTGACTATCAACAGTTAATTCAAGACCTCCTTGCTCAAGTGTTTCTAAGTTCAGAGATAATGCATTTTACTGAGAACTGCTTTTAAAGATCTCACAGTAAAAGAAAGTACACCAACCATCAGTAGTGCAAGACCCTTCCGGGGCAGGTTTTTGTGAATACGGGATTGGTGGACTGCTTGAATCTGACATGTCTTCATCCTCCTCTTCATCTTCCATTTCATTAACAGTTTGGTTACTAGAGAAGTCCAAATTTCCATTTTGTGCATAGCGATGTACTAACTCTTTATCCAACTCTTCCACCTTTGGCTTCACATCTGAGCAAGAATAAAATAGAAAATAAAGATTTCATCAGTATTTGTGACTACTCCCTTTTAAAACAACAGTATACTATTCTCCCTCCTCAACAAGGCCTGAAATTCAGATTTTGTGTCACACAATGAGCAGCAGTACAGCTTTTAATTATTTAATGAAATGCATCCCACCCTTTTCTCAGAAAAACAACAATTGAAATGTGCCATACTTTCATGGTTACCTTCCGGCAAGAAAGGCGGCTGGTCAGGATCCAGGTACAGCTGTGAGAAGATTGGCCGTGGGACAACGCTACTGCATCTCAGAGAAGCCTCTATGGAGTTATGAAGAGCTTCTTCAAAACGAGCAGATTTTAGTTGTCCTGCGTATGAATTCCCCATGATCTAAAAATGCAAAGAAAATGGTTGATAAACACAAGGGAAGCTGCATACACAGATCTTTTACAAATGTCAGATGAAGTCTTTTTAATATCCACCATGACAGACGTTGGCAGAGACATCAAGTTAGTAATAATATTGTGCTCTAACTAGCACTACGTTTCTAAGTATTTTGTACCCCACGCATACTCTTGTTACAATTACAGTTTAGCACAACTGCTTTGTGTTTTGCGCATACATTTCCTTCTCAGAAAACTCAAGAACCCCTCTGGTGTAGAGTTTTGTTGGGGGTTGGGAGGAGGAGAGGAAGAAGAGAAAATCATTATTATTGTCATTTTTAAGATTTTCAAAATAGACTAGAGAAATGAATACAACACAGAAAACTGAAAAATGTCAAGTCTGTCTTCATCACTAGTTATTGAACTACTTTAACATTATTTAACTTGGGAGTATGCCATCATTTGGAAAAAAAAAAAAAAAAATCTTATATAGACATCCAGTAACTAGAAATTTTGTTTTTGCTAACATTAACTGAAATTGTGTGGAAGTCAGCTCTCTTTAAGAGTCCTTTGCAAATGCTGTGCAGTTTTTATTTTAAATTATGCTTTACATTGCTATACTGTTAATGACCTTCTAAATTGTCTATTTTTACAGTTAACACATTCATGTTTATAACGATGATTAATTTATGAACTTTATGAAATACTAAGCACAAATAGACCTTGTGATCATCACTTCTTCTTGGGCAACATTATTCACCCCACAGCCACTTATATTTGTTCCCTCAGCGTTAGGAATCAGTAAACATCTAGTAACAGGATGGTCATGGAAAGGTTTACAACTAGCTAGGGCAGACTCAATGAAAATGAATTTTTCCACTTTGCTGGGTCTTCATGCTATGTAACATTTACTCAAAAAAAATTAAGATGTAACATTTTCTGCTGTTCAAAATACAAGACTGCATTTTCAGAAAATTTTATTTCAACAAAGGTTACTTTTCCTCTGTTAAATCAATAGTAGAAAGGACAAACACTTATAATATTGTCTTTGTAACTTCCTTCACTACATGTCACCTAGTCCCATGACCAGAATAAGATCTTAGCCAAGAAGAGAAGTAGGCATTTAGAAAATCTACAATTCTATTCCTGGTTGATTACTGGGTTGCTCAAGGTTTTTCAACAACGATGATAGCTGCTTACATTAGTGTTTCAGAGCTCCCAGCATAGAAAAATATTTCTGACTCAGGGATGAAGTTTATCTAATTACTCACCTCAGATGGATGAGAGGCATAGTTAGCTGTTCAAACTTTGTACTATTCTGGGTAAAAAATTCCATATAGAGTCATTAAGGCTGGAAAGACCACTAAGATCACCTAGTCCATCCATCAGCCCATCTCCACCATGCTGCTCTTTCTGAGAATAAATTTCTCTTAATATTCAACCTGAACCTTCTAACAAATCTGAGGCATTTCCTTACCCAAAATGAAGACAATACAAAGATAATTTTTTTTCCTAAGCTTTCATTAAATTCGAAAAACATCAGGGAGTGTGTATAAACATACAGTACCATAATAAAAGCGAATCAGCATTTAATTATAAAAAAAATTTCCACTTCCCACAGGGCACTGTCTATCTGAAGTCACTTCATACTCTGTTTTCTCCATAATCTATGTGATGTATATTGTTTATGCCTTTTTTTGAGAGAAAAATATTAATAAAATGCCATATGCTTGAAGGCAAAAGTGTATTTTTTTAATTTAATTTTTCTTCATGGGATCTATGCAGAGAGACCTGCTTGTGGAGGACAACTGTCATGGATTAATTTGAAATGGTGGGTTAACATTACTGGAGTACCGTTCCAGCTTGATGTGAGAAAACACAGCAAGATCAGAAGGCCCTTGGAAACATCCAGTAGAGGGAGGCTCAGGAATTGGTCTCCTCAAGCCACAGAATGGAGCAATGGAGCAAGAGGAAGGCTCCTCTCAAGACTCGGAGGGAGAAGGGTGAGGCACTGGTGGGAAGGAAGGGGGTGGAGGGAGCAGCAGCAAGGCACAGGCCTGGCTGCAGCAGGGGAAGCCAGGCCCCAGGGAGCCCAGTGCCAGCAAGCCAGAGCTGGGCAGCTGATGTCCTAACACTGCCCCAGGCCATTAGGGCAGCTGGGCCTCACAGCGAGTTCAAGGGAGCCGGGGAGAGGAGGGGCAGGAGGAGAAGTAGGCTTCCTCTGCAAGGGAGAAGGCTGGAGAGGCCTTGCCACAGCACGCAGCTCACCCATCCACTCTTCTGATCCAGCCGACCGAAAGCCAAGGGCACTGATTCAGGGCAGTGCTGCCTTTGTGTTTCTGTTTTTGAATCTACCCTGAGTGCTTGGTGCAATTAGGAAGCATTTCATTTTCCTCCTGACTTTGTCAATGGTAGGGGGCTTGCAGTCAGCACGCTGCAGCAGTGGCGGAGCTGCAGCACAGCACTGTCTGCTTTAAGTGTGTCTGTGAAGGGGCTCCGAGGATGCAGCAGCCTGGGGGAAAAATAAAGAGGTGGAATTGGAAGGGAGAGAAAAAGGAGCAGAAAGTATTTCTGTCATTAGAACAATGTACCTGCTGTCTCTGCATTAAAATTTGACCAAAACTAGTGATTTAACATGAATTAATGATCATTATTAAAGAAGTTTTCCAAATAATATGTTTACCCTATATTTCCACATTGGTTTAAAAAAAATTTAAAAAAACCAGTCAAAATTGGACTATTTGAGCACACTCAGAGGTCTCTAATGTACAAGAGGTTTAATCTGTTGTGCATGGAAAGAAATATGTGCCCCCAACTGTAGCTAGTTTAGCACAGACCTGATTAAATTCCCAGATTTTAGCCTTATTAATTCACACCACTGGATACCATGATATAGAAATTGCCTTTTGTTTCAAAATCTCAGCAGAAGTCTGTAGCCCAGTCTATCCTTAGCTGTTTCAAACTGTATATAATAACAGAGCGTTATTATGTGTAGTAAGATTTTCCTCTACACTTTCTCATTACTCCGCCAAGGAAGAAGGTTCAGACATCCCTTCTATTTCACCAACTTTGCCACTCTAGGCAGGCAATTTTTAGTCCATGCCCTGAAAACACTACTGAGAGACACAAGACAATTAAAATGGAACAACTTCAAAATGAAATTTGCAGCAAAACCTAAGAAGAGAACTTCCTGACATTCAGATGACCTGCACCTCCCACCTCTATCACTCTGAGGGTGCTTCTCTGTAAAGATCCTGACACTAAGTCATCATGACTCCTACCCTACACATCCTGAGCATCTCCACTACTGCTGTGCTGCTTCAAAGCTGATTTACTGAGACTATTTCACGCCTTCTTTGCAGTAGCCAACACTGAGCCGGAGGATTAAGGAGCATTTGCTGGAGTTAGAGAGCTACTCTGCAGTCCGAATTGGGGTACTAATGCTGCAAGTTTTGGTTGGAAATTAACTATAGATGTTCACTGTAGAAAACAATACTAGGACTGACAGGTGACTCCATAAAGGCAGACAGAATTGGAAGTAACTAAAGATTACAAAGACAATTTTAGCACTGCAGTAAAGGACACAGGCAAATCTGAATGCTTCTTTCAACCACAGAGGCTGAATTTGCAATAGAGTCGTATTAATTCAAGCAAGTAATCTAGTTCTGTACTGTCAAGAGATCTACGCACAAATAGGACACTGCATGTTCTGGAAGAAGCAGGGCCTAGCTTCTTTACAGCTCCAGCAGACTGGCAGTGTCTGAGCACTGCAACATCACAAACTTATTCCAATCAGAAAAATACATCACTCTGGTCCTGCACATACCCCTCCCACACACTAAAAAAAAAAAAAGAACTTTTTTGGAAAGTAGACCATTACCCAGCAATTCTCTGGAGCAGATCTACACAGTGAGCTGAAGGCTTTACGAGTAAAAATATAATCAGATCATTCAGTACACCAGATAGCACATATCTGGCCTCCAGGTGGGTCATGACCCCAGAGACTTTAAAGGAGAGGAACTGAACTGGAGGATGAGGGAGGGGGTGACTGTTGTTGTTATGGCTTAAAGCAATTTCACAATTACCTGATAGCGAATGATGAATCTGATGCAAACACCCTCCATTAAGTCAGCTCTATCAAGTCCTTACTTTGTGTTTAACCTAATGATGTAATTGTATTCTCCAAAACACATAATCTGACTTTTGATCTGGCCTAACCCCACAGAAAAGTTTCTCTTCAAAGGAAAGGAAAACAAGCTCCTTGACAAAGGTACTGTCAGGCCCCACAAAGCTTCTGTATCTTGAAGGGTCATCTTAGGCAAAGGGAAAGCAGGCATCTACTTATACTGTAAAATCATTTGGGAGCTGATTGCTTCAGGTACATTGAGCATTTTCTGTTATTTACATCAGCCTTAACTGATGTTCTGGGAGTCATAGTTTTTCCACGAAGGCATCATTAGGATCTATCACAAACATGCATACAAGCAGAAAGGATGACAGCTAACAACACTAGTAACAAAGATATTTGTTAATTAAAAGTGTAGACTACAATGACAGAAGTATATCTGTATTAAGTATATGTATCGGAAGTGTAACCAGCATTAACCATAGCAACAAGTAGGAAAGACTTACTATAGGAGCCAATACAAGAATGCAAGACAGTGTTCTCATTAACAGGTACCTTATCTCACAGCCTTTGTAAGATCCCCTTTACCCCCACAGTCCTTTCAAGATCCTGAGATTCTCACTCTGCTTTTGTCTGTGTTGGGGTTATTCAAGCTCAACTGCAAAAGAGTTTACAGTTTTATCTGGTGAGTGACAAGACAATTCACAAAGCCTTCCAGAAAAAATGAACAATTTGATTATACTGACTGTTTATGGTGTTACGGTCTCTTAAAATTTTTCATTTACTTTGAAGAAAATATTGATAACATCCTATATCCACTACCACATCCAAGTGGAGAATGTGAAAGACCAAGAACACTTACTTTTCCTGACAGGGCTTTC